TCTATCCCTCCTTCCACAGATCTTTCCATTGGTCACAAGATGTTCTATTTTCCCTCTTCTCAGAACATGGCCAAAAAATGATGACTGTCTCCTTCTGATGTCTGTGATAAATTGTCTTCGGACTACCGCCTCTTTCAAAACCTCTTGGTTGCTCTTTTTGACTGTCCAGTGTATTCTAAACATTCTTCTGTAAAACCACATCTCCGAGGCCTCAAGCTATGCAATACTCAATGAACGAACGTCAATGACAGGCATAAATATCCATTTTTGAAAAAAAAAAAAAGTAATAAACTCTATATATCCAAGTTATAACATGGAAGGATTGAACAAGATATTGTTGATTAAACTACTACCACCACCAACAGTGCTGCTGCTGCTTTATAGCATTCGTCCAAATATGAGACAAAGTATTTTTGTTATTTTAAAGCCGCACCAAGGCTGTTGTGCCCTTTATGCCAACACAGAAGCGGATATGCAGCACAACATCGACAAATTCAGTGAGGCCTTACAAACTGTGGGCTCACCATCAACAAAGATCAAACTGTAGCCATGCACCAGCCAGCCCAAGGGCAAAGATATATCGAGCTCAATATCACAGTGAATGGCCACAGGTTAAATATTGTCAGGAAATGTACTTATCTAGACAGCACCCTTTCACAGCGCGCCACAACTGATGACAAAGTAAATGCTAGGATCTCTAGGGCTAGCCTTGCCTTTGGCAGATTATACAAAAATATTTGGAACAGAAGGGGCATAATCCCGCAGACAAAGCTCAATGTATACAGAGCAGTTGTATTAACTACACTACTGTACGCATGTGAAACATGGACTGTATACCAGCGAAAGGCCAGATAGTTGAACCACTTTCACACAGTCTGTCTTAGAAAACTAACGCAGACCATATTGCAAGACAAAGTAACTGATACCATAGTCCTTGGGAAAGCAGTCATGCCCAGCATCCACACTCTACTGATGCAGTATCAAATTCGTTGGGCTGGTCATGTTGAAAGCATGCCAGATCACAGACCCCCCCCCCCCCCCCCTAAAAAAACCCTCCTCTATGGTGAGCTGCAAAATAAGAAACGTTCCCAAGGCAGGCAAAAGAAACATTTAAGGACACCTTGATGTCTTCACTCAAAGCAGTTTTCACTTAAAATGACACCAACTGAGAGGCTGCCTCTCAAGACCGAAATGCATGGCGTACAACTCTACACAAGGGCGCGGCTACATGTGAAGCAAACAGAACAGCAAGACTTATTAGGAAAATGATGGACAGAAAGGCGACTGCATGAGATCCCTTCCCTGGCACAACACTCATTCCCTTTCCTTACTGTCCAAGATTTTTTCGGGCCCCCCATCGGCCCCATCAGTCATTTTCGTACTCGTACTTGATGAAAAAGAGTGGTCATCATCATTTTGATGGACAACACACACACATGTCTTTATATGATCGAGTGAAAAAATGGGTCATTTTAAAATTAAATTGACGATAAACTGCAATTCTAGTAGCAGAATGCACATCTGATGGCTACGTTATGCATTTGAGTTATGAGTCAAGAATCAACACCATGAACTCGGAACTTTCTCATAAGCGCCTCTCCCCAACTTTAGCAGCAAGCGCAGAATCCCAGTTCCGATGGTACCAATAAAAGTCTGACTGTATAAATCTATCTCGCCCCTCCCTGCTCTTATGCATTTAATGGATGTGTATGTCATTGGCTTTGCCGCGTGATTAATTTTAAATAAAAATTGTCATATAGCAAGTCATAAAAAAAGGAAACAGAAAAATCGGTGTACTCTACACTCAGAGGAAAGGCAACAAGGACTTTTAACCGGATTGTGACAGGTACCATCAATAATGGAACTCTGCGCTGGCTAATGAAGATGAGGACGAAGCATGCATGGCAATGCCCCGAGTGCTGTGATGTCAATTCTTGACTCAAATCAACTTGGTGTACTTTTTATTGTACGGAACATTAGTGATCCGGAATAAATGGACAGACAACTTTTCATTGGTAGAAAAACAAAGACATTTCATGGCGGCTCTTGAGCGGGTTGTTTGAAAGTTGTGCGATTTCGGAGTTTCTTCCTGCTGGGATATTTTTGTTACACCTGAAATAAAAAAAAAATCACAAATTTCCTATTATGTGAGTGATTTCCGCTTCTTAAAAGATGATATTTTGAATCATGAAATTAGTGAAATAAGTTGAATTAATTACTGTGACTGTCCTCCTAAAAAAGGAATCACCCGAAATGACATAATTAAAATTTGAAGTACAGTACCTGATGTGATTCCGGATTACGAAGATTTTAAATTTTCTTTTAGTCTTTTAGATTCTAATCATTTTTAAAGGGTTTAGTATCTGAGGCTCATCAAGGGGTGGTATAATGCAATTTTTTAATTTCGCAAGTGAAACACATTACAACAGACACGTACTCAGATCAATTTCCGCGCAACATCATACTATTCATACACATATTTAATATTTATTTATTAAACTATACATCAAAATGACCAGGGATTGTTGAGGAATAATTATAGAATACAAATAATCGCGTAAATAATTATGATTTAATATTAGTAAATAAATAGACGGTATGATGTATGTTATGTTTACAAAAATTAGGGCTCTCCGAAATTCAACCAACCCGATATTATGGCGGCCATAAAATATCCTTACGGGGCTCAGTTCTATTAAAAATATGCCGGCTCCGTATAACAAAACAAATGTTCTAACAGGGTCTCAGCGATATGTTACTTGCCGACCTGTTTCTGTGACTATGCCTCACCGCCGACAGTATCCCCCGATGGGGGCTAAACTAGATGGCTGGGACTCATGAGCAGCAGCTACCACATCTCCTGCAACTTCCTCCAATTAATTTGCTCATTCGTCCCAGGCACCTAGTTTAGCTCCCCATAAGGGGAATAGCACTAGAACTAACTGACACTGAAGAAAATTGTCTTTTCACTAATGTTTATTCTATTTGTGCCAGCTGACTTTGCTATCGATGTACTCTTTGTGTGAGGTACACAATAGACATCTTAGCTATCATCCGAATAATGGTCCCAAAGTATCGAGGCTAAAAAAATACCCTAACAGGGAATTAATCATATGTAAATTGCGGACTTCTTTCCTGCAAATATACCGCATACCGCGGGAAACACTTCTCCGAATAACGGTCCCAAATCATCGAGGTTGTCAACAACTCCGACACTGAGTGCTAGGTTTGTCTTATACCCTGGGTCCTAGGTTTAACTTCTTTCCTAGGTTTAGGGTTAGGGCAAGGAGTATTGCAGTTACGACACCCCCACCAGAATCTGTCAAAACAGTGGAACCGCAACACTATCGAGTGAAGGGTTATGGATGGAACTTACGCGGACACGACGTTGCCATTGCGGCACTAGTCGCGCGTTGTTTACTGAATATTTAGCGGTTTCCTGGCAGCACAGTCACAAATAATTGTGGCCCTGTTAGGGTATTTTCTTGGTCTCGATAATTTGGGATCGTTATTCAGAGGATAGCTGACATATCCCTCATCAAAGTATGACTCTATAAATGACTGAAACACATCTAATTTGCAACGTTATCTAACTTCGGATAAATCAAATAAACATGTAGTTTATTCAAATTTGAAGCTTCTAAAGCCGTAAATCAAGTTGGCATGCATGTAAAATACTGCTTGGCAGCCATATTCTTTTCAAACACTTAGTAACTTGGCAAATCTCGCAAATATATACTATATTAACCGCTCTCAAACTACGTTTCAAAATGATCACCCCTGATATCAGACACAAAGAACAATCTCTCTTCCTGTTCATTTCCTAACACTCTTGCATGCCCAGTGAAAATATCCAAAGAACCTCTGAAGCAATGCTTGCCACTCAGCACAGAGCATTCCTGTCTATACCTTTCTTAACATTCTGAGTCAGTAACAATCATGACTTTTGTGTACAGCTGGGTCTCGAGCCAGCGGAAAGCTGCTGTGACTGCCTCTACCTCCATTTTCAAACTAGATGTTGCATTATCACTAAGCACTGTCCATTCTCTTTTGCAGTGAACCCCCACACACTTCTGTCTTTCAAAATAGATCCATCTTTATATATAATCAAATCACCTGGGCAGGGATGATCTTGAATTGATTATTGAATTTCTTGTTTTGCTGTAGCTGCTTGCCAATCCCTGCACTCCCAGCCAAGTGTGTTAGAACCCTACACGAATCTGCTTTTTGCTCTTGACACTTTGACTCACTCCTCTCCTCTGCCAATTTTGTTTTTCCAATATACACACATCTCTAATTTTGTCTTCTGCTTATGGCCTCCAAGACTTAACTCTAGTCAATCTGTGACCCATATCCAGGGCTTCATGAAGAAGATCGTTTTGTCAGAAGATACTAGTTATTAGAAGGAAACTAGAAAATGTGTCCACTGGAAAGATCTGTGGTAAAAGAGACAGAGGAAAACAACACTAGAGCATTCTTAGCAACATTTAGCAAAGTCATGGAGAGTTTTCAGCACATGAAATGATACATGCTATTGAAGATCACAAATTGTGGAGAGACATCACTGCCTATTCCAGTGGGCAAAGCACTTGAGAATAATGGTGGTCCAGAATTCTCTCTTTATACTCTACCAGTGCAATCTATTAGCTCACTTGATGCCAGTAATCACTGGTGAATAAAAAAAAATCTTCTTCTTCTTCTTCTTCTTCAGCATTCTGAGCCCTAAAGGTTGATTGCTGCAGATATCACCCACCTCCATTCATCTCTCTGATTGGCCTTCTCTTTCCATTTGGTGACACCTAGTATTTGCAGGTTTGTCTGGACATTATCTCTCCATATTATTCTTGGCCTGCCTTGTGGTCTACGACCATTCCTCTCCCTTGTGTAAATAGTTTTTTACTTCTCTGTCATCTGACATTCTTTTAATATGCTCCAACCAGCAAATAAATCTAGATGATAAAATTGTATGATTTGAAAACTGATTTTCCAGATGAGCAAAGATGGAGTTCATAATCCCAACCACTCGAGATGAATTGATGAGCCGTACCGGGACGAACCACTACTGTGTGGAAGACCTGCTGACTGTCAGACAATTACCTGTGGCACTGCAAGCTTTCAAGTCCACCTGCAAAAGTAATTCCAAGTGTGTAGTGGAACACTTCGACACCTTGTTCAGCTTACTGTGGTAATTATTATGTAGATTTTTATTTGTCTTAATTTGTCTTTTTCTTCGGTGTGTGTGGTCTTTATTTCTTGTGTACTTAATCTTCTGATCCTCTAACTCACGCCAAGAAATGTATCCTCTGAACTGTGTTTAAGAATCTCAACCCTCGTCACCCCGAAAAGTTGGTTTTCCCTGCTGTAGCCTCCTGTCTTCTTCTCTTCTGTACAACTTCCTGTTTTCTTTTCATACTGTACAACCTCCTGTTTTTGTTCCATCTGCAGCATTCCTCTTTGTTTTTCTGCACAGCCTTCTGTCTCTCTTATGTCGTTGGTCATCATGATATTCTACAGCTGTTGTCTGATGTTGAGAAATATGTGACTAATGGGGGACAGGAGAAAGGAGGAGAGAAAGAATACCTTGATGGCAATGCCATTTAGCAACATGAATTAACTCCTCTCAGCACAGAACAGAGGGATTGTAATGATGTGATAGAATCATTAATGTTGAGCTTTGAGAGAGAACTAAACATTCATGTGAGTCAAGGGATTAAGAAAAAATGCTGGCGCTGGAGATGACACAATTTGAGAAAACCTGAGAACTGAATAACTAGAATGTCTTTACAGTGGCACTCACATGGGCACAGAGACAAAGATAGACCAACAATCACATGGAAAATGGAACTAGAACGTGAGGTTACAAATATGGGGTGGTTGGGGGGGGGGGGGGAATAGGGTGAGCTCTATGTAATAGCACAAGATAGGATGACTTGGTATGAGTTGGTTGAGGGCCTATGCTCCATTGGTTGATAAAGGTCAGAAGAAGAACACACAAATTTGGCATAACTGAGACAAGAACATAGATCTGATATAAATCTCTGTTGTTTGTGAAAACAAATGGTGATCATACTGTAGCACATTCTTAAATTTTGGCTTTTTCAGTTTGCATAAAGATCTGGACCAAAACACCAGAGAAGAAGCTTGGACAAGTTTACTTAAAGGTAATTTACAAGAAAATTGTATTGATTGCTGGATGCTTTGTTGAAGAATTTGTGGCATGAAGATTTCAGTCACAGGCATGAAGGAAAGTCAAGGTCTTTGTGTTGTTTATCAGGAGATACTCCCTACCTGACCAGGGGTGTCAGCAAGCTCAGTGCTGGTTTTACAGATCCTCATGCAAGACTCCTGTCGCATGACCACAGATATTGGCCTGTATCTGCCTGAACCAAGCTGGCAAGGGGTCTCAGAGGTGGTGCCCCCTCCCTCCCCGAGATGCAGTGTCCAGAAAACCCCTGCTCTCATCAGTCCACTCTCAATACATGGGTAACAACCATCGACAACTCATTTGGGAAATGAGTGAAGCCTGCTGGCCAAAAATCCTACTATATGACAAACCTTAACCTTGGTTCAAATGCCTGTTGACCGAAAGTCCTACTGAAATGCTGCTTAGGCTTAGATTTCCACCAGTCAAAGTGGTCTCAAGGCATGGCATCTGCCTCTAGTGCTGGAGTTCCTAGGTTCAGGCCCCGGTGAAGGCTAGGATTTTTTTACGTAGACTTCTAGTAATTTCCCCTGGTCTCGAGTAGTTTGATCTGTTGCGCACATAAAAAAATCCCTTGGCAGTTGGAAATCGAAAAGAGCAGCCTTTGGCGCTGGCCGGGCAAAATTTTGAGTTTAAAAATCTACCCAAAGTATTTCAGGATCCTTGGCAGTACTACGGAGTACGTGCACTGCGCTGAAATTCTTTGGACTCAGGCTTGAGTTAGAAGTAGAACGGAGCACTTATGGGTTACTACCCTTGTGCCCTGATGTTGATCCTTTGCTTAAACCAAACCAAACCAGATCCATCCCACAGCACAACAGCAACATTTTCAGATGGCTGACCTTCATTTGTCCTACTGTGTGTCAGAAATGTTCACATGTTCACTAACTCCTCTGAGTGTGGAAGAAGACCATAAATTCAAAACCTTTAGACCACGCAGGTCATCAAAATTAGATTATGAATTCCATACCTAGTCTTCTTTAGCATTGACCCTTAACCCTTTTGCTGCTATGGACGAGATAACTCGTCTACCCGGTAGACTGCTAAGGACGAGTTAACTCGTCTTCCATTTTCTGTGCCCTCAGTGCTAAGGACGAGATATCTCGTCCTCGACTTTTCTTACAGATTGCTAAGGACAGTAATTCTTGGGGGTGAAATGGAAATATACATTACCCAAATCTGATCAAACTGACCCATTTACATACAATTAAAACCCTTATCAGGTGCGTTTAGCCGTATTTAGATGCATTTCACGCTATCCTGTTGCTTTGTTACCATAGAAGCATGGTCGGTGAACGGTAACTTTTTTGCCCTAAAATATGTTTCTGGTTTTGCGTTAGTCTACTTTTTTTAAATACAAACTAACAAGAAAATTTGTTAATTATAGTTAATGAAGAATTATTGGAGTTTGTTTCGAGGAGTAATAGTAAGGATAACTTTGAAACGTTTGAGTTATATGAGCTGGGCTATCTTCGCGGCACGCCGTCGGACACGTGTACTTCTAGCCGTGAGCAAGACTGACCATATGACCCAGCTATCTACATTGACTGGATTTGAAATGAATCACCAATAATCAAAATGAAGATATGGCCACGTACTGACATGAAAATTAATACTTATGTTTCTAATATACTATACAACTGACAAAACTGTGTCTTGTCTATCAAAGTGTACAATACTAGTCCTATTTTCGGTACCAATTTACATATAAACTTCTAGCGTAGTTGATATCACGCTTGCCTTGTAATCGAAGGGTACACGTTCAATTCCTGCATGCCGTATTGTTTTTTATTATTATAATTTTAAATGTAAATTCTAAATTTGAGCTCTTAGCTCTTTCGGCAACAGATCACAGAAGTATTAATTAATTAAACATTATGTCACGTGCATTTAGATGTGTTACACGTTATCCTGTTGCTTTGTGAAGCATGGTTGGTATACTGTTCATTGGTGTGCAAAAACACTCCTGTTGCCCAATTTTACTTAATGTTAGTAAGAGAAAGTCTTCATAAATATTGCAAGGAAAAGAGAACAAATGTACGAGGACAAAAAAAGTGAAGATCTGCCACTTCGTTTAGTACAAAGAAAGGCAGTACCCTTCAAAAATAGAGTCTGTAACATCACAGAAGAAATTCCCAACAAGAAAGTGTGTGGTATGCGCAGAAAGCAAAAAACGACGGGAAACCCAGATACATGTTCAAGGACTGTGATTTGGTACTGTGTGTCGCACCTTATTTTGAAATATTTCACACAAAAAGATAATAATAATAATAAAAAGAACATGTATCTGCTTACAAAGTGTTTTGTATTTGCTTTGTAAGTTTGAAGTATTTCTATTTAATGAGTTTTTATGGCGTAGCCCAAGCGCGTCCGACTTGTCAGCGCAAAGGTCAACCATGCGCTTCAAAAGAGTTTTTATTTTAGGTGTACAATTTTTACCCCGCGCCGCAAGAGCATCTTCTGCTTTTGGAGGCGAGAAAGGTATTCAGCACAGGGAGAAAGATTAGCTCTCGCCTGGCTCAGCACAGTGGTTACGTTGGCCTGTGTTGGGCGCAGCAGCGAAAGGGTTAAAAGGGCTGCTGGCATGAGTATTTTACAGCTAGACTGCGATATCTATGCCTTTCAGCTCAACAAATTTTATTTCAGCAGTCTTAATTAATTGTATTTCAGCAGTCTTGATTATTTGCCTTTTACAAAGTGTTTGTTAAAGGGTAGTTAGTGGGTCTGTTTTGTTTTTCTCCTAAAATGGGGTCCCAGAACCCACTTGGGGATCCTATACTTGATGGCTTAGTTGTCACATGTTATCTTTGTAGTATTTTCAGGAAGAAATGCTTTTATACTGCTATATCTGTTGATCTAGTTGTGAAATATTTACTTAATTCAGCTGTTATTCAGGCTAGGAAAATATAGTGCTGAGAGGAAGCTCTGGCAATGCCAAACTCATTTCTACTTGTAGGTTCTGGGGCCCCCATTATGGTAACAACCAGGATAGTCTTACTGCCTCCCTAATTAACATCTCTGATTACTGATTTAAGAATCAACATCATGGCACACCACGCATACCCATAGATGCTCCGTCTCCTGCAGGAAATTTCTTAAGGTGTAGATGCTAACTGCTCCCGTAGCACACTGATTACAGTAAGCGTCATTCTCTTCCTCTCATCCATCCCTCCTTGCCGGATCCCCACTTAATTCCTCATTCACACATTCTTACACATGTTATCATCAAATCTTCTTTCTTCTGTCAGCAGTCTTCCATATATGGTCTTCAGAATATCTCCCTTGTCCAGTACAAGAGTTCTTGTAGCTTTGGCTTTTGTAGCCAGAAAATTTGCTCTTTCATTCCCTTGCACTCCTGCATATCCTGGACAGTATATCCATGAGATTCCTAGCAGTGCTGGTGAACTGATGCCTAGTATCCACTCATGACACTCTAGTCCATTTTGAACCTTCCGCAGTGCCGACTGAGAATCAGACACAAGAATTCCTCTGGTAACTTTGTTTTCTGTGATAAAGGTTACAGTCAAGAGGATCGACTTCATTGCACCATGTTTTTTCTTATGTGGCTCGTTCTCTCTTGGCAGAACAGCTAGCCACCTGCCGAGAGCACTGCACAGAGCACAAGCTCTAGCTCCAACGACGATCCCCAGGGATGTCCATAAAAATTGCACTCATAAATGAAGGGCGCAGCCGTGAAACGAACCCATGACCTTCACGGCTTGACCACTTCACCACAGAAAGCCCCCAGACAAACATGTCATAACAGTTGACTAATAGGTGTTTCCTTTGAAGTTGGAGTCCATCTGCCTGAGAGGCAAGGAACTAACAGTCTGAGTAAAATAAGACAGATCTAAAAAAAAAAAACCGATGTGCTCACACCACTCAAGTTCTGGAAAAGACTAAAGTCTGAGTGGAAAAACAAGCAGAACTTTCCGGCTGAGTTTACAGCTGGTGAACGTCCTCTTTCTCAAGGTTACTTCATTGAAGTGGGAGCAGTGTGTAGATGTAAGGGTCTTATGTGATCTCTTTTTAATTTGTTGCATAAACTGATTCTTATTTCTTTAAGGCTGTCCTTGATGCCATCATTCCATTTTGTGTCATTTTCCTCTTACTCTGTTTTCATTGTTTTTCTTCAGCATGACTCACTGTGGCCAGTTGGTATTAGGGCATTCTCATTAGATGGCCATTCTAATATAATAGTGTATATTTGTAATTGTTTGCATTTTCTGCCCAAGTATCTGGTTTAGTATGAACTTTACCTATTTTTCTTGTCCCATCTTTAGGATGCCAGACTTTTTGTCGCAGTCTGGAGACAACATTGGATGAATCTGATCTTTCTAGAGAAGAGCGGTTTGCTAGTTTGAATGCCCTGAAGATGTCTTGTTACTTAGTGTGCCAGTTTTTAGAGCAGCTTGATAGTGAAGCACATAGGCCAAATGCAGTTGTTGCAGGAAAGGTATAGTATTTTTTTAAATTTTGTAAACCGGTATCTTTTTACTCCAAATAAGACAGTTCTCCTTAAGGCAGATAAAAACCTTAAAATAATTTGATGCAGTCTGTATTTTAGACATTTTATGGGAAGTGGACTTGAAAACTTGGTGATAACTGGCATGATTGATGGAAAAAGAGCAAGGGGAAGGCGGAGAAGTAAAATACCTGGACGGCTTAGTCATATGGATGGGGTGAGGCAAAAAGCACTGACCTGATTCTTGTGACTGCTTAGGACGGTTGGGAGAGCACATGATGATGATGATGATGTCATACTCTGAATGACTAACACACATGCAAAGTATATAATTAGCCATTGTGTGACAGCAGAGTATCTTAACTTAAGATCCAAATTGGCAAACTTCGACTAGAATGGGTGGACAGCATCTAGAAGTCCTGCTCCAAGAAACTATGTTGGCTTTTCACGCTAGGATGTGTCAGAGTGAAAGGAAATAAAAGAGCCAACAGACTGGCCATGTCTGCAGTAGGCAGCGGAGGAAGAAATAGGGAAAGGACACATGCGCTGCATCCCAGAGATGGTGAGACAGATGAGTCAGAGACGATGAACTGCCCGATGGAAAAAGGTATTGAAAATGACAAGCATGCAGAAACCGATTGTGGGGCGAAGAAAGATAATATGTCTTTCAACTCCTGTTGGGTACAGGAGCATGGCGACACTGAGATGGCTGCTGCATGGAAGGATGGAGCATGAATTGTTCAGACCTGTCTATTTGGGCAAGTAACAATTAACAAGCATATCCTAACCGAAGTGAAGCTCAACTTCTGCCCTTTATCCTCCAGTGAACCGACACACCAAATCATCATGTCTTACTATTTCATGCAGCTTACTCCACTTTATACTATAAATGGCTTCTCATTGTTTTGTGGGGGGGGGGGGGGGGGTGTTATGGTCTGTCTTTATTCCCTTGAACCCGTGGGTTTCAGTATAAGAACATTCTAGTTTTATTTAGAATCAGGTTTTCTCAGTGTATGTCCTGTCAGATACCAACAATTTGTCCACACCTCTTGATTTACTGAAATTAAGTACAGCTCTATACTGGTGATTCTAATTCTAACATACTATTTACCGTAAATTGGGAAGAACAAGTCAACCTTGAGATTTTTAGCTCAGAAGTCTGATTTAGGTCTGTATCTACCCAATACCTTTTATACCTACCATACAAGTCGACTCCTAGTTTTTGAAAGAATTCTTAGGTTTGAAAACTATCATTTGCCACAAGTTATGGTAATACCCTTTATTTCACACAGGCATCAGTTGTTAATGAATACTTGTGGTTGTTAAGTAATTGTTTTAGTTGTTAACATCTTCATTCTAACCGTAATCTATGACCAATCTCACCATGTTAATTTTAACTCCACATTTATAATCACCACAGGGACGAGGCAAAAAGAGCAAACCGGCTTCTGACTCCATGAGCATGGACTGGGAGTTTGAGAGGCAGCAGGGCATCCAGGTGCTGCTCTCTTTCATTCAGCTGTCCATCACCAAACTTTGGGATCCTCCCATTGCAGAAGAGGAGTTTGTCAGGTATATTATCTGGCAGTTCTTTGGCGTCTCCTTTTTTGGTTGCTGTTATAGCTGTGTCTGTTTCAGGTGCTTTTCTCTTTTATTCGGCTGTCCATCACCCGATTTTGGGATTATTTCATCACAGAGGAAGGGTCTGTCAGGTATTGTCTTATTTCCGTTTCAGCCTCTTCTTTTTCTGTTTCCTTAAAAAGCTTAGTTGACTTGTTGTATTGTGATTTACAGCAAGGCTGTGATATCTGCCTTTTGGTGCAAAACATCCGATTTTGGTAAACCCTAGCGTTTTATTGATAACATGCTTAGTTGGGGGGAAAGGGGGGGGGGGGGGTCTATTATTGTTTAAAACCAAAATGGGCTCCTGAAAACCCCAGGTGAAAGGTTGTATTTGGGTGGTTTGAAGTTTTAGTACCGGTTATTGCATACTGGCAGTTTTTGAATTTGAGGAGGGACAGGTAATCTCTGCAACATAACTCCTGTGATAATGGAACTTTGAAAGCAGGTCAGAATAAAAGTTTTGATTCAAAACTCACTGATAGGTGCAAACTTTACTTGTGGCTTCGATGACCTGAACATCAGTGTGTATCTGACTTATGATGTTAAACTCAAGAGGATTCACAAATCGTAGTCAATTTATAATCTTGAATGTTATTGTCTTAAATCCTTTTTTTTTAATGTATAAAAATTAAAGTGAATTCTTCATATTTTTAGTGTAAATATATTAATATTAATTAATTTCTTTGAATGTATAAATATTGATTTTTCAGTTCGTTTAAATGTTCTGTGAGTAGAAAATTTTAGTGTAAAAGTGTTATATTTAATCTTTTTATTAAGGAGTATGAAAATTGTAAAGTGGGTCGTTCTTTATTTAGTGTAAAAACCATATATTCTTTCACTTTTTCAAGTTTATAGATGTTAAATTTATTGTTTCAGATTTTTCATGCATAAATCTTATGTTGAATCATTCAGTTCTTGTGTATATTAAAAATTGTTTTATTTTTTCCAGTCTTATAAGTACGTGCTGTTACAAGCTGCTAGAAAACCCATCTGCTGCTAAGGTGAAGGACACAGTTATCTGCATAGCTCATATTATTGGACACTTGATCAAACGTTTTAATCATGGACTGGGTAAGCTGTTTCTGGAAAATTGTGTTTTACAATTTGGTCAGTTGTCTAGAAACTTTTTGAAGTCCTAACATGTAGCATTATAAACTTCCTTTCTTTTTCTTTGCATTCACCAGCTGTAAACTATGGCGGTTGTTTGTCCACTTCTGGACTTTCATCTTATTCTAGGACTTGAGTTTTGTGTGGACATTTGTTTTACAGGTGTGACTTATTTGAGTGCATACTGATGTGTCCTCATCTCTTTAGTGACTTTGAAGGAAATCTTGATCCTGTCTGCATTTGCCAGACCCCAGGCTGGAAACCTGTTTCTACCGAAGAGAGGTCTGGTTATGTCTTGACCAGTACGAGTGCTGGTCCTGGTTCAGCACCTGTGCATTCTATAGCATCTTGACACCATAGAAACTTGGCACAGGCCATAGTTGATTGGCTTGAAAAGACAAAGGGCAGCTCTGCAGCACAGCCTCGGTGGTATTTTGATATACACCTTACAGAAATGCTTGCTGAAGTCAAAAGACATTAACCTTTGATTTATAGTAATTATTGACTAGATATGATATACTCTCTTGAAAAAAGGAACTGTAATTACGAGGGAAATTTCATAGGAGGTTTGCCAGAGTTAATTGATGTTGTTCATGTATCTCCTCTTGTAGGCGCCAGTTTGAAGATGGACCAGCTATTGAAGCATTTTGAATTTCTGACTTCCCCTTTGACACAAATTGTGGAGATCCTGGTCAAAGAGCATGGATGCAAGTCAATCGTAGCCGATATTATGCGGTAATTTCTAAACATTTTCCCCCTTTGTTTCAAACATTCTTTTGTTTTAATCAGAATGTTGAGCACAGTGATAGCTAGGAGAAAAACCAATCATGAGGGTACCTTTTCCGGACAGTGGTTGTACTGGAGCTGTTGTCAGTGGCTCCAACTTGTTATCACTCTGCTTGCAGCATACCTGTTTCTACCTTTCTCAGCATACTCTGGGAGTGACAGCTGCAGATGGTATCAAGCACAGAGCATGCACTCTGTAGCTCCGGCGAGGTCCCAGATAACACCCTTTGGATATTTTCTCCAGGTAATGCTAGTATGTTGGGACTGTCTGGTTCTGCACCACTTGGTGCATGACAAACTCAGTGTTGTAAGGGCTTTTTGGGAGCAAGTACCTTGGTTCACTGTTGAATTAAGAACAGATAGCTCGGCAATCAGAAAATTGCCATACGCATTTAGTCCCCAGCTTCAGCAGCCAGCTAAGAGTTCCCTTTCCTATGGTACCAGTCATAGTGTGATTATATATCTGTTTTGCCTTTCCTCTGTTAGTATAATTTTGACCAGATCCCCTATGAAGAAAAGAAAAGCTCAGTGACTTACTATTTAACCCTTTTGGCGGGTAAAAATCTTCAAAACTGACTTTTTTTTCAAAGTGGACTGCCTTGTTTGTGTTCCAGATTGACTGAATTCTTCTCAAGCACCACATTTTCAATGCGAGTAAATGTAGCCATGCCTTCCAGATTTATACGTGATGCAGTTGCAACCAGTGGCAAAGCTGTTATATAAGCATACTGGCAAATGCCCAAAGATACCGTGTTATCAAAAACCTGTAAAAGTTGGGTAACAGGATTTCTCTAGGTGACAGGGTTAACATGGTTCATTATTATAGTCACAATTTATCACTGTTTGGCCTTAACTGAGTTAGTGTTTAGTGGAAGATAGCCTTGCAATCAGCTTACACCAGGTCCATGATAAGCTGCATTTTGCAGGTATGGTATCTACAGGATGAGCCTGTCCAACACCGACCCATTGTATCTCAATATCGACATATTAGCTTGTCAGTCCAACCCATTCGTGCTCTATCCTTTGATGCAGCAGCCATTTCAATGTTCGGTGCTCACTGCACCCATTAGGAGTTGACTGGCATATCTTCTTTCTTTGCCCTGCAACCGGTTTCTGCATGCTTGTCCTCATTTAATACCTATTTTCAACAAGTGATTCATCGTCTTGGAATTCTTTGTCTCAGCGTCTCTGAAACACAGCACATTCCATGTCTCAGTCAGTCAGTCAGTAGCATGTCCCTTGCAGAACCTTGCTTCCATAACAGCCCTCCAGAAAACCTCTAAATCACAAGCAAGATGTCCTGCGTCTGATACTCCTATCTGGAGATCATCAGCCACATCCTGCACCCATCTTTTCTTTGGCCTTCCTCTTCCTCTCTTCCCAGGTGTGTACCCCTCCATTGCTGTTCTGTGTGTAATGAAGATGTCTTGAAAGGAAGTGACTCATGAGGACAACTGATTATCCACATCAGAATTTGACCAAACTGAGCGAGAAGATGCCGGACAGTTTGACCTCATGGCATGGAAGATAATCTGTAGCAGAAATTATTAAATGTACACAAGTCAGAAAATTCTGGATAGACATGACTATCGACACCTCATGGTATGGATTATAAGAAGAAAAACATGCAGGCAAAGAGTATGTTTATTATAATACAAATGCTTTTTTATGGTCTATTACAGGGAGATTGGAAATGCTGATACGAAGGAGGCTGCCCGGGACACGACAGCTGCCAAAGCTTATGCTTTGTTTCTTGCAGAACTTGCAGAGAAAATGCCAGCAGTTGTCCTTCCGTGTCTGCCTCTTGTTGTTGGTCTGCTGGATGGGGAGGTAATTCTTGATGGTTTCATTCATGTGTGACTTTACCTACCAGCCACTATCTTTTCTAGAAGTCAAAAATCTCATTAAGAGAAAATCAGAAACAGATTGGAAAACCAACACTGGTTATAACTACGGAAAAGATTTCCTGAAACACTTGAACAGAACAGACCAAGTCACAGTTTTTCGCTTATGCACTGGACACTGCAGACTCAATAAACACTCACATAAATTAGGTATGAGCCAAACAGCTCTCTGCCAGTGCCTTCGTGCTGAACAGACTCCAGAACATGTCCTGCAAGACTGTCCTCTCCTGGCGGAGCTGCGGAGCGACATATGGCAACACCCAGTAGAACTGACAACTAAGCTTTAGGGAAACCTAAGAGACCTTGAAAAGACATCCCAGTTTATGACCCACAGTGGATTATGCGCATGACCAGAGATCGCTGAAGAAGATGTGTGACTTTAATGGTGGAGAGTTTCTTCTTCTTTGCATTCACCAGCTGTAAACTGCAGTGGAAGTTTCTGGTTGTTCGTCCACTTCTGGACTTTAGTCTTGTTCCATAACTTATGTTTTGCTTATACATCTGTTCTATAGGTCTGCTTATTTGTATGCAGACTGGCAGTTTCTTGCCTCTCGGGCAGATGCACTCTAACTTCGAAGAAATCCTCAAACTAGTAGACTAATACTACATGCTTGTTAGAGAGGCACTGGGTGTTCTCTTGTTTTCCCCAGGATGGGGCCTCGGAACCAACATAGAAAACTGAGTTTAGAACCAACATCACAACCTTTGGGACAATCCTGTAAGCACACCATTCTCATCTTTAGCAACCATCTGTGATTTCCAATTCCAATGGTACCCATAAACCCTTCACCCTGTGAGTAGGAAAAGAATTTATCACATTACAATGTTACACACGTCACTAATTAGTTAAAAAAAATATTTACATTGTTACATTTGCTTTTCTATATATAATATCTAATGGTGTAAACGGAAGCGAAATATTTTGGTCATATCAAGTGCCACGACGGATCGGAAAAAATTATAGCAGAAGGCATGGTACCAGGAACGAGGGGCAGGGGCCGACAAGAAGATGGGCACAGGATATAAGTGACTCCCTGGGTATGAAAGCACATGAGGCGGGAGAAATGGCGAGAGACATGAGTTTCTTTCAGGCAGATTGTGATGAGAGCGACGTTCTGCAAAGGACCTGCTACATGATGATGAAAGGGGTAAACAATAATGTATGAACAGAGTGAAACATAAATAGAATACATTCCCCGTAATGTAAAAAATTAAAAAACCCAAATGAATCAGGTGATTTAGCAGTGACCCCTGACCTCAGCAAATGTGGAACTGTGTCACAGCCGGAAGTTACTGGATTTAGTCATCTCAAAGTGATAATGTTAACCCATCCAATTTAGTTTCTGCAAAGCAGCTAGCTAGTCACCTGCATGAATACCGCACAGAGCTGTAACTCTATAGTCCAGTGATATTTTCCAGATAACTCTGAAATAACTTCACTTGGTAACCTAACTGCGTCGGCGAAAAACAGTACCACAACTTTCAAAACATGGGACAAGCAGCTCAACTGCTTCACAGTGGAAACCTTAAGTGCTCAGATCTCTCTCTCTCTCTTTCTATCTCTCTGTCTCTTGCTCTCTCTCTCTCTGTCTATCTATATCTCTCTCACTCACACACACACCCCACCCCAACATATAAATCATATTCCGGCATTCAGTTATGCCAGGCCTGTGCTGGTTGACAAGACTTCTCGTATGTCTGGTAAGCCTTCTATGCTTGGCTACGCTGATCTTTATTCATAACTCTTGCATTGTTTGCAGCGATGTGGACGCACTGCCCCCCAAATCTTCTGGTGGTCCTCTCTCTCTAAAGGCACAAACAATGTCGTTATCCATACGCTGGTTATTTGCGACTATATCAGCCAATCTATCAGCTCTTTATTTGCCATCTACACCTATATATTCTGGGACAAAGATGAAGTTAATTCCACAAATAGTAGAGTTTGCAGTGAGTCTACTTATCTTGGATGGAACCTGCCATGACCTTCAGGGTCATGCTCATAGAATTACTCAGCTCACACACGTGGGAATAGCCCTGTGATTCATAAACAAGCTTCTCAAGCAGTGTAGAATCTGATGGCTTAGCACTGTTTATTAAGCTGATTTAGAAGTCTCTATAGGCAGTTAACAAACTTCTTCTTTTTCTTCACTTGCTCTTTTGTTGCTTGAGTGTTGAGAGAGAGATATAAGGTTCTACTTCTTGCTCTTGTGTCTGCCTTGACCATTGGCACATTATATTGATTCTCTGATGCCTATTCTTGGTCTACCTCGAGTTCTGTGTTCCTCTTCTCTTTTGGTATGCCTTGCGTGGTATGGCGTCGAAAGGCATTTTCTCTAAGTGGGCACTTTCTTTTATTTATTGAAATTTTATGTAATTTAGTATTTGTTCCATGCTGACTTTTCTCGTATGACTTCATTTCTGAGAATCTTATATTCCTGTTTATCTTTCATTTAAGTTAGGGAAACAAATTTGTAATTTAGTATTTGTTCCATGCTGACTTTTTTCGTATGACTTCATTTCTGAGAATCTTATATTCCTGGTTATCTTTCATTTAAGTTAGGGAAAAAAATTTGTATGTAATTTAGTATTTGTTCCATGCTGACTTTTCTCTTATGACTTCATTTCTGAGAATCTTATATTCCTGGTTATCTTACATTTAAGTTAGAGAAACAAATTTGTATGTATTTTTCAGTCTTACACATTACGTAATGGTGTGCTTAGCATGATGGGAGAGATTCTCATTAAATATCTGTGCAAAGAGGAGCTGGATGATAAACTACGAGCAACAAGAGATGGCTTGTTTGAAAAACTGGAGGTTTGTGTGCATGTCAAGTTTTCCATTTCTTTGTTCAGTGTTTTTGTTTTGGGGTTGGTTAAATAAAAAATATATTGTGCCTCTTTACGTCATTGTATTTTAATTTGTAATGAAAATACTACACTTTTATGATGTAGACAGGGAGTTTGAGTGTTTAGGGTCAAGTTGCTAGTGCTGTTACTATGGACGGGGCAGGTTAGGATTTTATTTTTGCCCTGACCAAACAAAAATAAGTTCTCAAATCTTACTGAGGATTTGAATCCGGGTCTCCTACATGAGAACCCTGCAATTTTAACTGTTCTGCCAGCCGCTCCTCATAAATACTGCATCAGTGATAAATGGATAGTGTAACACTGAACCATATAAATACAACAACAAATCCACTGCCCTCTTAACAAGCATGTCATAAAGAGTGACATATTAAGGGTTTGCTGAAAGTGAATGTGTAGGACTGAAGGGCACAAGACATTGAAGCGTAGCTTAAACCATACAACATGATGACTACCCTTTTAAGGGGGAATAGAGAGAAAGAAGAAATGGTAAAACAATGAACCACTGTAAGAATAAGTCTCAACTAGTAAACCACATAATTTCACCTTTTCCACATCCGGTCATTCTTGTTTTTTCCAGCATTAGTCATATTGATTTATGATGAATTAAAGTACATCTAAGAAATATCCCAAAGTCATTCTTGTTTTTTCCAGCATTAGTGATATTGATCTATGACGAGTTAAAGTACATCTGAAAAATATCCTAAAGTCATTCTGGTTTTTTCCAGCATTAGGGATATTTATCCATGATGAGTTAAGGTACATCTAAGAAATATCCCAAAGTCATTCTTGTTTAACTAGCATTAGTGATATTGATCTATGACGAGTTAAAGTACAACTGAGAAATATCCCAAAGTCATTCTGGTTTTTTCCAGCATTAGTGATATTGATCTATGGCGAGTTAAAGTACATCTGAAATATCCCAAAGTCATTCTGTTTTTTTTTCCAGCATTGGTGATATTTATCTATGACAAGTTAAAGTACATCTGAAAAATATCCAAAAGTCATTTACACTTTTTTTTTATTAGCATTAGTGATATTGATCTGTGACGAGTTAAAGTACATCTGAGAAATATCTCAGTCATTCTTGCAGTTACCTCCTGTGAGTTCTACGGCTCCATTTTGGAGAACAAAGAATAGTCCTACTGCCCTGCTAACAAGCATGTTGTATGAGGCAACTAACTAGGGGTGTTTCCTTCAAAGTCAGGGTGCATCTGCCTGAGAGGCAAGGAGCCAACAGTCTACATCTAAATAAGCTAGATCTGTCAAGGCAAATGTGCACACAAAACTCGAGTTCTGGATTAAGACCAAAGTCCAGGAGTGGACAAATGACCATATCTTTCAGTCAGAGTTTCAAACTAGTGAATGCTAAGAAGAAGAATATTGTAGCAGTTAATAATTTGTAAAGGCTATGAAAAAATCATCCATTTCCTGTCTTGACTTTTTTTTGGGGAAGGTGTGGGGGATAAAAACACTAAACACTCAGATTATAATACCATCATCCTCATGTGCCCTGTCCTTAATGTTGGCCGCCATGTTTTGATATCTCACATAAACACCAGAATCACTCATCAGGTCAGTGTTCTTGTCCCACCCCATCCATATGGCAAAGCCTTCCAGGTAAAGGGTTCTTTGCTTTCAAATGGTTCTTTGCCTTCCCCTTGATTTTTTTTCCCACCAGCCCTGCCACTCGTTAACCAAGTTCAATTTAGTTCTTGATTCCTTCTTGTAACCTGTCCAAAAACTGTGAATGTCTATGACTGATTTATTGGTTAACGACTTTTATCTATTTCAAAGTGGGCTGCCTTGTTTGTGTTCCATGATATTGACTGAATTCTTCTCAAGCACCACATCTTCAATGCCAGTAAAAGTCTTTTCCCGGCTTGTTTGCTTTTTGTCCATGTCTCACATGCCTATAACAAACGGGTCCTGCATAACACTTTAACCTTTTTTTCTCACTGTAACTGAAAATGTCTTATTGGTATCTCTTGCATCCTTGACTTTCATGTGTACAGGACCCTTTGCCACGCCTTCAGACATAATTGACATATAGGGCTAGACCTATATGTTATAGATCAATCAGTTATTGGTGAGTGATGTGGTCAACATTACGCCAGCCATCTTTACTTCCCAGATCTATACCTGGTATCCATGCAAGGCTGGGTTGACCTGGTAGCCAAGGTCATTTTTGATAAAAGTCTGGCTCCCTCAGGACCTGAACGCATGACCTTCCTCTCTCCGCAGTGAGCGTCTAGCTGCTACACTTTGGCGGCTTCCACTTTCATCTGTAGAAGAATATTATTTTGTTTTTAAAATGCAACAATTTGTTTCTGAACTTGTCCACAGGATCACATCCATGATGTCAATGCTTTTGTCCGCAGCAAGGTATTGCAAATATGGCTTCATGTGGTCACGGAAAAGGTGAATTATGATATAGAGCATACTCGTTGTAACATGTCTTACATATTTATAAGGGGATCAAACCACACCCAAAAAAAACCCTGTATTTTCTAAGGATCACAAATTGAGCACGCAGGCCTGTTTTATATCAAGCTATTTCTAGCATTCCTTTCTAACACTGCAATAGTATTTCATCTAGAAAAATGTTATGGTAATACAGCAATATACATAATATTTAAGAGCAAGTAAAACGCAAAAGCATGTATGGCAAACGCAGACACTTATACATACATACATACATCCATACATACATACATACATACATACATACATACATACATACATACATACATACATACATACATACATACATACATACATACATACATACATACATACATTACATTACATACATACATGCATGCATGCATGCATGCATGCATGCATGTCCGATCTCTGTGGCGATGTGGTCAAGCCATTTGCCTTGTACTCTGAAGGTCCTGGGTTTGCTTCATGGACATATGTAGTTCATGAGTGCAGTTTTGATAGACATCCTAGAGATTGCCGCTGGATCTACGGATTTTGTGATTTGTGCGTGCAGCTCACCCCATCCCCATTCTCCAGTTTTCTTATCAATGTTTTAGATTTGTCTTTATTTATTCGACCCTCTTGTTTCCAGTGCTAGGGCATTCTTGTTACAGTATTGTTATCATGTTTTCTTTATGTGTCCTATCCAACACCAGCAACTGATTTTGTTTAGATCTCTAAGCTCTGCATTATTGATTCTGTCCTACCATTCAACTTATTCTCTTGTGCACATTAGCGATTCTGTTATATAGAATATGAACGAGGAAGATTAGTTAATAAACAGCATCTTGTCTCAGAAGCTGAAATTATTTAGCCATATCAAACACCACAGACGATTGGAACACAAAAAAAAAAAACAGAAGGCATGGTACCAGGAAGGAGGTGGCACGGGCCAACCAACACAAGATGGGCACAGGATATAAGTGACTCCTTAGATATGAAAGTGCATGAGGCAGGAGAACTGGGGAGAGACAAAGTGTCTTTCAGGCAGACCCGCTACATGATAATGATTCTACACCAGTTTTTGAACAACACAGTTTCACCGTATGGGAACACGAGAACACAGTCTTTATTTCTACATAAAAGGGTAGAAAAGTTTTAACAAGAATAAATGTTAATTTGTTTCTTAATAAAACACTGCATTTGAGAGCATTTCTTTGAGTGTATTCACATTTTTTTTTATTTCTCACATCTGCTTTCAGTGTCTGCCACTGCTGAGACAGGAATCTGTGATGACCTTAGTGGTGGGTCGTCTGAACGATAAATCCAGCATCGTCAGAAAACATGCCATTCAGCTAGTGACAGCTCTTCTGAAAAGCAACCCTTTTGCTGCACAGGTATGTGTGTATGACGTGTTATTACTTGTCCTTCCAATTCCTATTGTGTGTCAGTGAAGCCTATATATGCCTTCAGCTAACTCATGCTGCCCATATGGGTTCTGGGGCCCCACTGAGGGGGAAACTAGAATAGATCGACAAAAAGAACTAACTAACTAACTCTTGCCAAGCCTTCTGTAGATATGTGCTTGTTGGTTGCCATAAATTTTTGTTTTTGCGGTTAAAGTACTATCTTAACATCATCATCATATGGCACAGATCCTTTGTAGAACGTTGCCATTGTCATGTTCTGCCTGAAAAAAAAAGACAGTCTCTTGTCAGTTCTCCCACTTTGTGCACTTGCCTACCAAAGGGTCACTTATATATTGTACCCGTCTGTGTGCTGGCTGGCACCTGCCACTCTCTCCTGGTACCGTGGCGTTTGGTATTATTTTTTCCAATCCGACGTGGTACTTGATGTGGCCAAAACGTTTAAGTTTCTAGAAACAAGACACTGTGTACTAGTCAGTCATTCTTAACCATCTGATCTTTTCGGATGCCAGTCTTTTTGTCATTCTTTGTTGGTCTGTTATATTCTGATAATCTTTCTGTAGCAATTCGCCTCAAAATTTCCCATTTTCTTCCTCTAAAACTGACTACATGACTAGCATCCGTATGTTGTTACGACAAGATGCATGCTCTGAAACTTTTGACATTGATTTCCTAGCTGGTGCTTAGCCATAGACTTTTAATACTGTTCAAAGTTTTTCTCTCTCTTGCTCTTTCCTCTGAACCCTCTTTCTCCCTCCTCCCTCCTCTTCCCTAGAACTCAAACCTAGCTCTAGCAACCTCTGGGCCAGAGGAGTATTGAATTTGCGAATATGTCAGATATTTTAATAGTGTGCAGTCCTTTAAAGAAAGAAAATTGAGCACTAAATAAAAAGTAAATGAAATGTTAATGTTCAACAACTAAATGAAACAGTTGTACAGCATTTTAGTTCAACTGAATAAAATAGTTCCTGAGAATTTTAATTTAGAAAAAAAACAAGTCATGAGAATTTTTAGTCATGCCCAAAATTTGAAAGAATGAGATTATCAATGGCTGGATTTTTTAGGGGCAACCTGCATATGTTTTATTAGTGTCTGTTGCATTCTCTAGATGGTATAAAAGATCTACAAACTTAACAATGAGAAGGAAAAAGTGAAACAGTTGTAACATTCTGTGTCTGTTGTATTCTCTAGTTGGGTATATAAGATATACAAACAAACAATGAGAAGGAGAAAGGGATACAGTTTAACATTGTGTATCTGTTGTATTCTCTAGCTGGATATACAACATCTGCAAACAACTATGAGAAAAAGAAAGTGAAATAGTTGAAACATTCTGTGTCTGTTGTATTCTTTATCTGGGTATAGAAGATCTACAGACAAAACTATGATAAGGAGAAAGGGATACATTTGTAACATTGTGTCTGTTGTATTCTCCAGCTGGGTATATAAGATCTATAAACTATGAGAAGGAGAAAGGGATACATTTGTAACATTCTGTGTCTGTTGTATTCTCTAGCTGGGTATATAAGATCTATAAACTATGAGAAGGAGAAAGGGATACATTTGTAACATTCTGTGTCTGTTGTATTCTCCAGCTGGGTATAGATGATCTACAAACAATGAGAAGGAGAAAGGGATACAGTTGTAACATTCTGTGTCTGTTGTATTCTCTAGCTGGGTATAGAAGATCTATAAACTATGAGAAGGAGAAAGGGATACATTTGTAACATTCTGTGTCTGTTGTATTCTCTAGCTGGGTATATAAGATCTATAAACTATGAGAAGGAGAAAGGGATACATTTGTAACATTCTGTGTCTGTTGTATTCTCCAGCTGGGTATAGATGATCTACAAACAATGAGAAGGAGAAAGGGATACAGTTGTAACATTCTGCGTCTGTTGTATTCTCCAGCTGGGTATAGATGATCTACAAACTATGAGAAGGAGAAAGGGATACATTTGTAACATTCTGTGTCTGTTGTATTCTCTAGCTGGGTATATAAGATCTATAAACTATGAGAAGGAGAAAGGGATACAGTTGTAACATTCTGTGTCTGTTGTATTCTCCAGCTGGGTATAGATGATCTACAAACAATGAGAAGGAGAAAGGGATACAGTTGTAACATTCTGTGTCTGTTGTATTCTCTAGCTGGGTATAGAAGATCTACAAACTATGAGAAGGAGAAAGGGATACAGTTGTAACATTCTGTGTCTGTTGTATTCTCCATCTGGGTATAGATGATCTACAAACAATGAGAAGGAGAAAGGGATACAGTTGTAACATTCTGTGTCTGTTGTATTCTCTAGCTGGGTATATAAGATCTATAAACTATGAGAAGGAGAAAGGGATACAGTTGTAACATTCTGTGTCTGTTGTATTCTCCAGCTGGGTATATAAGATCTACAAACTATGAGAAGGAGAAAGGGATACAGTTGTAACATTCTGTGTCTGTTGTATTCTCCAGCTGGGTATAGATGATCTACAAACTATGAGAAGGAGAAAGGGATACAGTTGTAACATTCTGTGTCTGTTGTATTCTCCAGCTGGGTATAGATGATCTACAATCTAACTATGAGAAGGAGAAAGCTCTGCTGGAGGAGATGGCCCCCGAGCCTTCAGCATCTGTAAGTGCAGATTCAGTTAGTGACAAGCTGAAGGAGGAGTGGAGCACCCTGGAGAAACAGTTGATGGAATTTCTTGCAGCTGAGGATGTCTTTCTGCCAAGAGATAGTACTGCAGCATCTACTCTCATTGGAGATGATGATGCCTTGGAAGGGTGAGTTCTTTGTAGGGGTACAAGTATGCAGGAGTTGGGGGTAGCCTAGTGGGAAGTACACTGACTTACTAGCACATGAGTCTGGGAGTTATTCTTGGCTGAGCAGGGATCTCTTCTGAGTCTGTTATTATTTTTATGTCTCCTTTGAGGAGAGAGAATCTCCTCTTGTTAGGCCCTGTCTGTCAGTATACATCCCTGCTACTCCCACATAGGACTGCAGGCTACTTTGTAACCACAAGAGTGCCCTATTACAACTGTGTTGTGTGGTTGAACAGGGTTTAACATCCTTGAGGTGGTAATCCTATGGCCAGCAATCCTGGAGGGGAACAGTGACTGACTGACCAGCAGGTCTCAATCATACACATCCCTTGTCCACACAGGACTACAGGGTGCACCACATTTTGTAGCCATCACAGGTGTCCAATAAAACTTCTTAGAGGGTTGAGTCCAGGATGCGACTCATGAAGTTGCAGAGCTGATCAAACTTTCAAGTAGCAGCTCAGAGGTGGATAAAAATTGGACAGTGTGTCTGATTTCAGTATTTATAAGTAATCTTTATCTCTAAAAAGATTCCATATCACCTGTATATGTTTTTCTCAAGATTTACCAGAGTGGTGGTATTCATGCCAACACTTTTTAAATTTCCAGTTACTGTTTACAGAAGGGAGCTACAATGGCGCAGTGGCTAGATGCTCACCTGTTGGCCTGAAAGTCTTAGGTTTGAATCTGCATCATTAACCTTTGCTCCCAGGTCAACCCAGCCTAAAATAGGTACCAGGTAAAGACATGGGAAGTAAAGGCAGCCAGCATGATGTTGAACACATCACCTACTGAGCACTGATTGGTCTATAATATCAAATGCTTGATGTGTCACTGGTATAAAAAGCCCATTACTTACTTAGTCTTAATCTTCACTACAATTGGGTTTTCCCAAACTTTACTTACTGTTCACAGTAAGTACAGACAACAGCGTCTCGCAGGAACAGGTGCACTTCTGCACCTGACCAACTCGACACCCCATACTAAGAATTGAACATGTTCTTTGGGTATTTTCTCCAGGTCATGTCGGTGTTTTAGGAAACAAGATGATAAACTGGCTAGTTTTGCACCACAGGGTAGTGAATTGATACATGACAAGCTAGATATTGCAAGGGTCCTTGAACGAGTGAACAGTGCGGAGGCACAAATAGATCATGTTCTGAGGAGAATGCCCAGGGGATCTGGCAGCCAGGGGAAAGCAAGACAGATATATAATCAGACGGCTACTAGTGCCATCAGGATTGAACTCTGCACTTGCTGTTGCTAAAGATGTTATGGACGGAATGCTTATGGGAATGTTTTGAGTGCTGTGATGAAGATTCATACTTCAACATTCACCTTACTGTTCACAGAGTACTAGAGAAAATTGTGAGATTCCTGCAGAATGGTGAACTCCGCGAAGCTGTTGCCTTGATGTTGGCTTCTTTGGACAGTTTTCCTGACGTGCCTCTCTTTGATGCCTTTGGGAGGTAGGTTTAACAATTGTTTGTGTCCCATCTTATGTATTCAGTTGTTGCTGTAGTATGCACCTGATGAGATACAGCAGAATATACCAGGTACTAAGTTGTGTAATCTGTTTGTATTTTGTTTAAAAATAACTGAATTATCTAATATACGCTTGAAACTTGTCCTGAGAGGTGTGACTTCGTTATTACTTCAGTTTTAATTCACCCCAAACAAACAAAAATCCAGGATAGTCCAAACACATTATGTCACATCAAGGTGTTTATTTTGGTGGTTTATATTGTTTAAAAAAATATAATGTGTTGCTTACCCTATTCCTAACCCCTAAACCTATCCCTAGCCTTTGCTAAATAAAGCTACACTAAATAAGGCTACCAGGAGTTTGGAGTGAATTTAACATGAAGTACCCACTTCCTTATGCCAGGTTTTATCCTTTGGCTCAGTCTAACTTACTTCACACAGAGCAAACTGCTAGGCACTTGTCAAGATCATCATACAAAGCATCAATTCTGTTGTCCCAGCAATTTTTCTTCTTCACGTTCACTGGCTGTAATCTGCTTCAGAAAGTTCTGGCTTTTCGGCCACTTCTGTACTAGTCCTGTTCCAGATTTTGAAAATGTGTGTGCACATCCGTTTTACACATCAGGCCATTTGTAAGCAGACTTGATTTCTTGCCTCTCAGGCAGATGCACTCCAACTTCGAAGGAAATATCCTGTTAGTTGACTTATTTGATATGCTTGGTTTTTGTTGTTGTTAGAGCGGTGGGTCTTTTTTTTTGGTAGCACCCCACCTCACCCCCAAAATGAGGCACTGAAACCCACACGGGGAGTTCCAGCAATGATCCATAGGGATCTCTGAAAAATTGCCTGTGAATCGAATGAAACAGATAGATGAACTCTGAAAAAGAAGAAATGAGACAGTACAAAGGTGAACCCAAAACCTTCAGAGCACAAAGCAGATGGCTGGAACTGCTAGCACTAGAAGCTCCCTTCTTTCATTAATGAAATATCACATGTTTTTTTTGGGGGGTTATAATTCCTGCCAGTTCTTCCATCAGCTCTCTCTTCATGTCTAATAAACAAATTGACATGTATGGATTGGCAATCAGTGACAGAAATAGATAAGAGGACTCACTAGATAATATCGTAATTGAAAGCTATAGTTACCTCTAAATAATGACAGCGCCTCACAGCAGGAACAAGTGTACTTTGAAGCAAGACCAACTCAACACCCCATACAAGGAATTGAATTTGTCGCCCCAGATTATAGTAGGGTTGGCCAAACGGTTAAGAACACTGGGCTCTTATGCAGAAGACTCTTCAGATCTTTAGAAAAAGGTTATGGATTTTTGTGTGTGTGTTAGGAGCAAAAATAAAATCCTGATTTGCACAGTCCCTTTCGACTACACTAATCATGCGGTCCTAAATCCTTAGCTCAAAGGACCCCCCAACTTTCTGCCCTACGATTAAGTGGTAAATACAGGCAGTAATGGCAGTTGGCCTCACTGCAGGAACAAGTGTACTTAGGCACATGACCAACTTGACACCTGTTTATGTTCAGCTACTCTAGAACTTCTACATCTGTTGAACCTTTGTATCCATGAAACTTGATTTGTGCAACATGTTGATTATAAATCTTCACAGGAAAGATGCCTCAGAAAGTTTTGATGAAAGTACAGAGGACAGCAGTGGTAGCAAAGATAATGCAGACAAACTGGCATCAACTTTAAAGGAAGTGTTTTTTCGTAAGTAAACAGAGATTTATTTTGTTTATGGGAGCTATGTCTTGTTTCCTTACATTGAAAGGCATAATGAAACAAGTTTGGGTAAAAACATTCTGAAAGCTTTGCCCTCTTTTTGTCATCATGCTTTAATCCTATTGCCGCCATGTACATGGCCAGATGGTGTAGTTTTCATGTCTCCAAAACAAAATCTCAGTCCTTTTTTTCTGGATCAGATTGACAGATCATACATCATTATCTTTTATGTTGTTGTCGGTACATAGATGAGTTGATGGAGACCTAGGTACATACATAACCCTTGACCACAGGGATTGAGGAGGTGCATCAGTGGAAGCACGCTCATAAAACCCGCCAACTTTTTCTGTCTTCTGCTTGTTAAACAAGTATATAGTAATTTAGCCCAGTCTATTTATTGTTGTCATTCCAAGTACTTCTTTGCTCTACCTCCTTTTCTTTCAAACACCCCCCCCCCCCCCCCCCCCTTTTTTTTCTTCGACTACACTCCATCCCGTTCCTTGAAGTATAGTCTTTGCAGTTGAATTGTGTCGTCTCACCATGTGCCAGAACCAAGCTAGCTTGGAGACTTAACACAGGGAAGATCATTAGATTAGGGACAAAGATTGCTAATATGAGGGCATGGGGTAAGCTGCAGGTAATGGCACAAGAGAAAATGATTTGGTGTGAGTTGGTTGAGGTCCTTGATCTTATATTCTTCTTCTTCAGCATTCCGAGCCCTTGAGATTCATTGCTGCAGATATCACCCACCTCCATTTATCTCTCTGGTTGGCCTTCTCTTACCATTTGGTGACATGAAGTGTTCTTAGATCTGTCTGGTATTATCTCTCTATCATCTTCTTAGTCTACGACCATTCAACTCCCATGTGTATAGAGTTTGTAACCCCTTTGTCATCTAATATTCTTTCAATATGCCCCAGGTGGGGGAAAAGGACGGACAATTAAATCTTATTTCCTTGTTGTGAGCTCTTATCCGAGAATGTGAGGTGTCTGATCTCACTACCCAAGAGATCAGGGATACCAGAGATATGTTTAAAAACCTATTGCTTTTATGAACATTACATTTTCTTCTAAATTTGTCCTTAAAAGGGCACTTGGTGCACTGTTTTATCATTTACAGCCAGGCTGCAGTATCTGCACATTGTGGCCTGCGTCTGATTTCAGCAGACTCTTAACTTATTGAACTCAGCTTGAAAATATCCAAACATTGGGACAGCTAGCCTGTCTCTTACAGTGTAAGGCAATCTCAATCATCAAAAAGAAACTTCCCATGTGGGTTCCAGTGCCCCTCTATAGGGAAAACAAGAATAGACCTACTGCCTCCCCAGCAAGCATGTCGTAGGAGCCAGCCGATTGGGAGCTTCCTTCAGAGTTAGTGTCGTGGAACAGGTTTCTTCTTTACTTACTATGGTGGTGGGTGTAGGTTTAAATCGTCCCTCCTGATCCAAGTGAGAAACTGAGACAGCTGTCTTTTGATGCTAAGTGCAGACAGAGTCCCTGGATACTCAGATACAGACTCAAATTGGCTCATGAAAGAAAGTAAGCCAACTGAACATTCCCAGAAATAGGAAAGGGGAATTTAGATGCCTAGAGAACACTTAAAGAGGTAGCTAGACAGAGCAGATCTCCCCCCCCCCCCCCCCCCCCCCCCGACAACGTTCTTTTCTAATCATTAAGCCCCCATCTAGAAGAGGTATATTGATGGACAGAACTAAACTGACACCATACACATATCTAGAAACACTTTAACAATAGCTGTGGTTGACAAATACACATAGATTTGTTAAAGCAATTATATCTTCAATTTTGTTTTCTCTACATTGATCAAATTAAATAGATGATGATGATACAAATGATTATAACATGAAACTGTCATCGTGAGAGAGTTAATGAGTATTTTTGGGGGACAAACAACAATTACTACTGGAGTTTTCCAGAGGATCTTCGTCCGACTTTGAGGTGGAACGTTGAAACTGCACCAGTCACCAAGACCTTCCTCGGGGCACCTCAGTCGTCAACTATGACCAGCCTGGCAGTGTTCTGGAAGCTCGTCATGTCACAAGGAACAAGGAAACTGTCCTTGGCTTTTTAGCAGCTAGGGATAAAAATGTATTGTCCCTGTGCAGAATAAAATATATATTCCCAACTCCTCTCTCTCTTCATATTGTCAGAGGGGGGCTAAATCGTCTCATAGCCTTGTCATTTACATAGATTCCATTTCTTACTACTGTCCAGTCCAGTTGAATGGTCTTCTATCTTCTGTCCTTCATGATGATAGTGTAATACTGCATATTTTCTCAAGCGAGGACCGTGATATGCAGTTATAAATTCAACCCAAAATCTGACTTAATGCTGTAGAATTATCTCTATAGATACTGATGATTCTAGATAAAACTGGCAGCTTTATCTGTCTTCCAGATATTCCATTTTTTAGTAAATTTCTGGTTGTAGCCAGCTTTTGTGGTGCTGACAAAACAGCTTGCCAGTTTGTAGTTTTCTTAGACAGTTTGTCATCAACATCACAGCCTTTATTAAGGCTGCGTATAAGTAAAATAATTACACAAGTAGTTGTCCTGAAAATAAAAACCAGCGTTTACTAAACCTAAGTACACATCATGAATTCTAAAAAATAGGAACATGAGAATAAAAACGTCTCCAGTTGCAAACTAGACAAACTGGGAATTTCCCAGACAGCACCCGTATACAATAGGGATATCCCTCTCCTCTGTGTCAGTTTTGAATAAAATGACATCAGTCTTAATGTAGCCAAGAGGGAAAAAATCAAAGTGTCAAGAGTGGTGGTATGTCTTTCAAGGTATCATTGTCCACTTAAAGAGGCGTCTCACGACATTCGGAATGCGTCTGCCCAAGCAGCAAGGAACAACCAACTGCACACAAATAAGCCAACCAAACGGGTGTACACATTAAACTCAGGCCCTGGCACAAAGCCAACTTTGAAAGAGGTGAACAATCAGAACTATTTGCCAAAGCATACAGCCGGTGAACAAAAAAGAAAAAGAAAAAAAAAACATCTCATACACAGCATATTTATTACCACCTAGAGCCAGACATGGTCACTTGCAGCAAACCAGAAAAGAACATCAGTAACCATGGAGAGGAGGTGTCGGGGGGGGGGGGGGGGGGGGGATTAGCTAGAATAGAGATAAAATCAGGAGTGAGGATATAAAAGAAAATTCACTGGTTTGCCAAATTGTGGAGAGTATGCGGTGTGGTGACATACCATACAAGGCAAACACTAAAAGAGGAAAAGGACATAGAGCAGGTGGTAGACCAAGGCACTTATGGCAAGATAGCATCAGAGAAACCCTAGAACAGTACGATTTGTTGATGGATCAAGAAGCAGAACCTTATATTTCTCTCGACATAAAGAAGAAATAAAGAAGATTAAAAAAAAATGCCTCTTTTAGTTTACATAAAATCAATATTAATTTTTTGTCAGTGTGCGGGCAAAAATTTATTTCCTTGCATATTTTGTTTTTTGTGTTTACACAAAGTGATACATTTTTAATTGACCATGATAACCGCATGGCTAATCTTGAACTTCCGGCTGAGAGATGTATGTTTCAGATCATGGGATTTGTATATTTTAGGGGGAAAGGATTCATGTTTGTATGCTTCTTTATTTGTTGATGTAACTTTACAATAATACTTCTGACAAGATACAGCGACATGTGCCAGGCAGTAGATTGCAATGCCTTGTCCGTATTTGCTCTAAATAAATTTGCAGCAGAGTAACATTGTTTTGAATTAATTTTCTTTATATTGAAATAAAAAGGAGTAAAGGGACCAGTACCTTCACCCACTCCAGACACAAGCACTACCAGTAATGCCGGCGATGACAGGATGGAAGCTGAACTTGTCAAACAACAGACTCTTGTACAGTATCTGCGGGTATGTTTTCACTGGTTTAAAAAATGTCATTAGCATCACTAGTACCACTATCTTCTTTTTAAAGTCCATACTGTTTGGTGCTGGTAGTCATGTCTGTCCACAACCTTCTGTCTTGTGTACTTTCAGTCAATTCTGACACATATAATCTCCATGCCATGAAATCAGACTGTCCAGCATCTTCCCTCTCGGTCTCGGCCTCTCTTCCCCTCCAACATTCATACTGTTACGATGTACTTTAGTTTTCTCTTTCTCTTGGTGACCAAATAATACAGATTGTTTCTTTCTGATGTGGGCAGTCGCTTCTCTTCGTGAGTTAGTTTTTCTCAAGACCCTACGACCACAATCACCATATTTACTGTAAATTGCCATGTGCAAGTTGACCTCAAGAAATTAATCTCCAAATCACGATTTAGGCCTATAGCATATTGTATATCTGCCATTTAAGTCGACCCCTAGTTTAGGAAAGATATTTTTTAGTCTTTAAAAAACAAGCCACAATTTAGGTAAGTTCTAAGAAACAGAACTAGTCTTCAGTTGCCCTCTGGAAATGTGACTTTACAGTTTTGTAGCACTCATAGACGTGGTTTATGCAGTTGAGATCGTCAGGAATGTAGAAATAATAGTTAGTTTGTCTACTGACTGGCTCAGTGGTCATATGTTAAAATCCCCTGCAGAGCAGGATTAAAAGAAAAAAATTTGACGAAGGTTTCTAAATTGACCCAGTATAAAAATGGAAATAGCAAGGAAAGTGTTGGCCAAGAAAAGATGGAAGATGTGACTTTCAGGCCTGATAGATAGATAACAAACAGTGGAAACTACACATTGTGGTAATCATGCCGTTAAAAAGAGAATGTGGCTCTCATCATAGTCCGCCTGAAAGAAACTCAGGTCTCTTGCCAGCTCTCCCCCCTCTTGCACTTTCATATCCAAGGAGTCACTTATATCCTGTGCCCATCTACTTGTTGGTCAGCCCCACCCCGCCTTTCTGGTACAATAAATTCTGCTGTAATTTTTTTTTCAAATCCCTGTGACGCATTTAGCCAAAATATTTCTGCTTCTGAGACAAGATGCTGTTTATTAGCCAACCTTCATTGTTAGACATTGTTAGTGTAATTATTTAGTGATGGCCAGAATATGATCACATGTTCCAGTTTCTCTCTTGTCAAATCTGGGTAAAAAAAAAAAAAATCAATATTGTCTCCTGTTTGTGTACTGTTTGACAATTTTAGAACATACATAACCAAATGCTAAAAGCCATTTGTTGTGCTGTTTATAGGACTTGCAGTCTATTCCTACACTCTGCTCTTTTCCATATCTTGGATGGAATTCAGTCCAGCCCCTTTGCCCTCTCTGGTGTTCATTTCGGTCTTCTGTTTACATCCTTGTTTCCCTTATCCACTTGTTTCCCATTTCAAAACCTGTCTGACGATTCTTTGTCCACTTCTCACAATGTGCCCAACATATTGCCGTCTTATAACTGATGATATATAAACTGTTGTCCAGACATGTCTCTTATTTTTTCACCTTTCCTGGATTCACTCAGTTCAATTTTCATCAATTAAATACTAAATGTCCTGTATTGTTAACTTCCAGAATTCGCTGACATTTGCTCGGCAAGTCCAGCAGTGTATACCGGTGATTTGCCAGCTACTTGGTTCCAAGAATGTGACAGATGTTCTGGAAGCTGTCCAGTTTTTTGTCACCTCCGTGGAGTTTGGCCTATCCGCTGGCATTGTTGGGCTGCGCAGAATGATGGCACTTGTGTGGTCTCAGGAGGCGACTGTGAGGGAGGCTGTGGTTGCTGCATATAGAACTCTTTATCTGGAGCCAAAGGAAAAGAATCAGAGGTGGTTATGAAACTGGAAGATGATGTCTGCTCTTTATGCTTCATGACCTACTGCTCATCTTTCATTTTTTGGGGGCTGTTTATTCGCCCCCTCCCCCAATTGCTGTCCCTATTTGTGCACAAACATTATTATTTAATCTTATATCTAACAAATAACATGAAAGAGGGTCCTTTACTCTCTTGTTTTTTTTTCCCTCTTCCTATTATGTTGCTTCATCTTCTTTATCTGCCCTGAAGGATAGACCCTCAGTTAACTTCAGCTGCCTAATTATCCTTTGCCATTTGGTGCAGCTCATGACATGTCATCTATGTTTTTTTCATCTCCAAGTTTCTCTTCCCTGTCATTTACTTTACTTTACTGCTTTGTCTTTCTCCTGTCGTTAACCATGAATTAAATTGTTGTTTTATAAGACCCCAAGCCAGATTTCAGCTCAAAGAAATTAGCCTACTTCTTCTCCTGCTTCAGTATTGCGAGCCCTTGAGGTTCATTGCTGCATATATCATCCGCCTCCATTCTTCTCTTTGGTTGGCTTTCTCTTTCCAGTTGGTGACACCAAGTGTTTGCAGGTCTGTCTGGACATTCTCTCCATCTTCTTCTTGGTCTGCCTTGTGGTCTACGACCATTCATCTCCCTTGTGCATACAGTTTTTACTTCTCTGTCATCTTTCATTCTTTCACTATGCCCCAACCATTTCATGATGCCAGTGATAAGTGTTGATTTAAACAGATTATGAATTTCGTTACTGCTTCTCACTTTCCATTCCCCGCTGTTGGCATATTTGATGGGTCCAAAGATTGATGCATCTTAAGACTGTTTTAGAAAACCTGTAATTCATCTCTTTTAGTTGTTCTCCACGTTTCAAAGCCATATAAAATGACTTGTCTTATCAACATTTTATATATTTTAATCTTGGTTTTGTGAGACAGACACTTAGACTTCAGCAGATGTTGAAAGGCATAGTATACTTTATTTCCAGATTGTATTCTAGATTGTATTTCTTCTCTCAGCATGTTGGAGCAGTTAAAGTTTGCACCCAAGTACTTATATGTTTCCGTTCGTTTGATTTTCATATTTTCGGTTTGTATAGGGCCAGAGTTTATATCCTTTCCCTGTCTAGTTATTATCATGTATTCTGTCTTATCTTGATCGATAACTAGTCCCATTTTCTGAGCTGATTCTTTTAAGAGAGCTAGTGTTTTAACAGTCTCTAGTTCATTTTCTCCAGCGATATCAATGTCATCTGCATATCCAAATATTCTTGTACATTCTTCTATAGTACACTTTTGTTTCAATTTCCTTATAATTTTCTCCAGGGCCAAGTTGAAAAGAAGTAGGGACAGAGCATCGCCTTACTTTAAACTTGATGTTATTTGAAAAGGATCTGACTTTTTGCTTTTATATACTACCATATTACTAGTGTCTTCCATACATAGTTTGGTCAGGTTTATTAACTTCTTTGGTATTCCAAAGTCCTTCATAGCATTCCATAAACTGTTTCTATGTACACTAACATACGCTTAATCATTGAATATCATTGAATTAATCAAAATTAACATCAGTGCACTTGACACATTCCCACACATACTTCATCCTCTAATCTTTCTCAGCAGGTAACATGTTGAATGTCGATTCAGTTACTGGTACCATAGGAATTGAAACTCTTCGCTTGCTGATGAAGATGGGGACGGAGCGCTTATGGAAGTGTCTCCAGAGCTGTGATATTGATTCTTAATTCAACCTCAGTAGCTAACAAGGGGTTCCCCTACTGATTTCGCTAGTTTCAGCCTCATTAGAAATCACCTGTAGTGTCGAGAAAATCATCCAAATCCCCTGCTCATTCGCTGGCTGAATCATTCTCTACATGTGCTTTTGCTTTGTCTTTTCTGTTGCATTGTTAATTTAATCCCAGAGAGCTTTCACCATATCTGTGTTGTCGTAAAGTAGCTTACCGCTCAACAGGGCAGCAGCAGCCAGTCTATCAGTCTGCTCATTACAATGCACAATCTCAACCAAGGCATGAATCTCAGCATTGTGTCAGATGTTCTTTTACTTTTCACATTTAGTCAGTGAGTACTGAAGTAATTTCTCTTCCAAAGTGGCCACTTGCACTATGAATTTAGACTTAGCATCGTGTATTCTCATACCAAAAGAGTGAAGGAAATTTTTCAGCTTGATAATAACCTAGTGAAGTAAACACTTCCTCTTTTTTTTTTTAAATATCTGCTTTATGCTGCTTCTGGTCATAGTTTAACAGATAATAGGTTAAGGCTGTCAGCGACTCCTTCAGTCCATATTCTACTAGGTCTCCTTCTGCCTCTTGGTTTTTCCCCAGTTTTTATGTGTGAAGACTCTCACTGCTGGTATCATTAGTGTAAACTAACTTCGTTTAAATATTTTTCAGGTCAGTGGCTTCCAGTATTGTAAAAAATCTGGCATCACTTGTAGTGGGGTCAAACTATGGAGAGTTGACATCGTTGGAGGCACTGGTGAGTAACATTAGTTTTGTGTGTGTGTGGATTTAAGTATTGTATTAATTTATTTGATGCTAATCTCATTGAAACGCTCATTAACTGGTGCCAGTTAAAATTAAAAGATATTAAAATAACTAATGTGGCGCTTTAGTAGAGAACTAAACAGATTCCAGTGAAATTAGAGGTGAAGGCAAGACACTGGCATTGGGTAGGACTCGCGTTGTGAAAACCTGAGAACAGTATAACTATAATGTCTTTACACTGGAACCCACAGGAACATAGAAATAAAGGCAGGGACTACTTAGTAAACAGCTATTTTACACAGTGCATGAGAAAAAAAATGATAAATATGGACCAAACATGCTCAGAACAAGAGGAGTAACTGATAAACCTGAATGCAGCAGTGAATTAACTGATTTATTTCTCTTTAACCATTAAAGTCGTTTAGCCTGTGACTCATACTTAATCTAACCCAGTCGCCAGGAAATCATTGTGACCATTGGGACGTTTTGACTGTATAAGTTCTATTAAAAAGCCTTTATTTTACAAGGCGCCTCCCCCCCCCACTCCCATCCCCAAATGCATTTGTTCGTAAATATACTAAATTATGGTCGTCCTAACTATTTGCACAAGCACATACAATATCAGTGCTGATATCTATATTTGTCATGAACTCATCACTATAGCAAACCAGTAAAGTGACTTTTATGTGGGGAATAGGCCCTATCTGGAAGTGTTGGTTTCGTAGGAGTCGACAATACTCTGGCAAGGAATGTATATAAGTTAAATATAATTTATATGAAGTGCATCAATCTCTGAGGAGTGGCTGGTCGAGTGCTGGGCTCTCTTTCAAGAGAACCACCTTCGAATCCTCGGTAGGTGATAGAAGTTTTTCCTATTGAGGGCAGAAATTAAATCTTAACCTGCACAGACTAGAGCAGTTACATTAGAGATGCTGCCCTTAATCTTCAGCCTCTTGACCCCTCTGTCCTGCATCGCCCTAAGAAATTGTAAATCTAGGCAGGAACTTTTTTTTACCCATCAGTCTCTTTTCCCAGGTTTCAGAATTTGTGAAGAGTGGTCACATTGGTCACCAAGTTATCAAGGCATTGTGGGAAAGGTTCGCCATGAAGTCCGACGCTGTGTCAGCCCAGGATGCCCGAATTGCTGTCAACTTACTAGCCATGTGTGCCCAGTAAGTTTAATCTTCACAGAATATATCACAGCAGTTAAACAAGTCGCTCGTAATAGCTAAACAAGCCACTCTTTGTAGTTAAAAGTCATCCTTTATAGTTAAACCAGTGAATCAAGATAATCTTCAAAGTTAAACAAGCCACTCTTTATAGGTTAACAAGTCACCATTCATAGTTAAACAAGTCACTCTTTATAGTTGAACAAGTCACTGTTTATAGTTAAACAAGCCGCTCTTTATAGTTAAACAAGCTGCTCTTTAAAGTTAAACCAGCCACTGTTTATAGTTTAACAAGCCGCTCTTCATAGTTAAACAAGACGCTCTTTATAGTTAAACAAGGCGCTCTTTATATTTAAACAAGGTCTTCATAGCTAAACAGGTCGCTGTTCATAGTTAAAAACAAGTCACTCTTCATAGTTAAACAAGTCACTCTTCATAGTTAAAACAAGTCGCTCTTCATAGTTAAAACAAGTTGCTCTTCATAGTTAAACAAGTAGCTCTTCATAGTTAAACAAGCCACTCTTTATAGTTAAACAAGTTGTTCTTCATAGCTAAACAAGCCACCCTTCATAGTTAAACAAGTCACCTTTCAATTTTAAATAAGCCACTTTTCATACAGTAACAGTTAAACAAGCCTCTCTTCATAGTTAAACAAGCCTCTCTTCATAGTTAAACAAGCCTCTCTTCATAGTTAAAAACAAGTGTCTTTTCATGGCTAAACAAGCCACTCTTCATAGTTAAAAAAATAAGTCGGTTTTCATGGCTAAACAAGCCACTCTTCGTTATAAAAAAAAGCCACTCTTCATGCCTAAACAAGTCACTCTTTGTAATCATAGTTCAGATAACATGAAAAGATATAAATCCAGATGAGTAGAACTAGTCAGCCTCACATCATCAGTCATGAATACAAATGAATGTTGTTTCTGTCAGCATATGACACAGATGGACAAACTTAAAGTTACAGACAAGAATACAGAAAAATCACTTATTTGTAAGTTGACGTCTGTCACTGGACTATCCATCATATGCTGGGGCAGGTGTGATACAGGAAGAGAGGTAGGAGGTGGGTTTGGAAAGGGTCACGTGTCATTTTTTTAAATAAACATTTGTTGGACAATAAGGCCCTTAGGTGAGAGAGAGCCTATTAGGTAGTTAATTCCTGATTTAGACTGACCATGTTCAGTGAATCTGTAGTTTGGATAACCATACATAACCATGTTAGGGTAAACATGCACTGGACCTTGAGGACAGTTTTAACAATTACTAATTAATTACAAATTGTTCTAATATGACCAAAATTAAATGACAGAATAGGAGTTAGAAGTGCGGAACCACATGCGGTGATGGATCAGGGCTGGTGCTGGGGAAGACCTTTCTACACCTCCAACGGGGGTCACACTGGAAACAGGTTCCCAAATGGGAGCTAGCCAACACAGGACAGAAGTTTCATTTAAAGTTGTTGTGCATCCACACAGTTGACACACATAAATAAACCTGATCTGCAAAAATGGATGTGCATGCAAAACTCCTAGCCCTGGAACAGGATCAGAAATGGACAAACAACCAGAACTTTCTGCATGTATTTACAACTGGTCAACACGAAGAAAAAGAAGACATACGGCAGAATCATGATTTTAGAGCTCATGCAGAGAACTAAAATTCTAGACGTTCAAATGGTTAAAAAAGGTACCTTTAGTGAGATTGGGACGACCTAAGAAACCATTTGTTCTTTCTCTGTCTTTCCTGTTTTCCTCCCTTGATGATTTATTAATTTTGTCTGCCTGTCTCTATCCACTGCCAGACTGTAATATTGTTTAATGACACTGTGTGTGTTCTCCATTTAGAGCTGAGCCGGACATCATCAAGAGCAACATAGAGGTTCTCATCCAAGAGGGTCTGGGCCCTAGAGGAGAAGATGACTGTCTGCTGGCTCAAGGTACTTTCCAAGCACTGTTGAAGTTGTCAGCTGCTCCCAAGGTTTGTGTGTGATGTTTCCTGCCGTTGGCTCTTGTTAGTGAATTAGGATCATCATATTTACATGTGAGGCTTCTTCAGATAAACCATTATGTGAAGATTTTCCAGTCTTCACTTTGTCCTCTCCACCAGTAGTTTTCAGATGAGGCCACACGCCTCTGTGAAGATTGAGGTGGGACACATGTCCTCTACTGAACCAAGCAGCTTGGTTTCACAAGAATCCCTACTCACCAGATCTGGGATCTCACTACTACATGTAGGAAGCATGTCTATAGTACATTTTCGGGCGCACTCACGTGAATGGAGTGAGCGACTGACCTTTGGATATATTGTCTAGGGTGTACAGGTGTGTTGGGAAATAAACAGGCAGACAGACTAGCTAGTGCTGCACCACTGTGAGCATGTAAACAATGTGGAAGCATGAATAGATTACAGCATATGGGAAGGGTGTGGCAAGAATTGACCATTGTATCTCTTCACTCAGAAACAACGCAAGACGGATGTAAAATCAAACTGCTACTGTACCATGGGACCTGGAACTCTTTGCTGGCTACTGAAGATGAGGATGCAGTGTGAACAGGAATGTGCTGTTATGCCAGTTCTTGATTCAACACTATATGAAAAAATATCAGTATAATAGTACCCATGAAATTACTGTTAGCAACTTCAGGATTCAACAAGTTATGTCATAAATTTCAGGAGAAGGGCAAGCTTGCACCAGAACCGTTTCGTCTGTCATCAGATCATGAGCTGGCAAACAGAATCAAGACCATACTTGTCAAAGGTAATTTTAATTAGTTAGTCGATAGATCATCATTGCAAATTGAACCGTTCAGTCTGCAAGTGCTCAGATCCCTCTTCACTAAATCTTACAGCATGCAGCAGCTGCTGACGCCATTTCTGTGTTGGTTTATTAATCTTCTTTGACTTTCTGTATAGTCCTTTTTCTGACCACACCTGTTTTAACTTACTGCTCTTGCAGTCTGATCATCGTTGTAGATCACAGTCATTACTTGGTTCTCACAAATGTCTTAGGTCTCAGAGTATTCCAGGGCTTAATGCAGGCATTGAAACCAGAAGAAAACTGGGAACGGTGACTTATGCTCTCAAAGCCTGGAAAATCCCAGGTAGTTTATGAAAATAGGCTAACATCGTTGAACTTTACCTGCCATGACCTGGAAATTGACAGTAAAATGAGAATTTCATGTGATTTTCAGCAATTTGGTTTTTTGCTGTTACCGTCATTTCTCTATATATAATACTCCAGACAGACCTTCAAATACTTGATGTTACCAACTGAAAAGAGAAGGCCAACCAGAGAGATTAATGGAGGCAGGTGATATCTCAGAATGATGAATTTCAAGGTCTCAGAATGCTGAAGAAGAAGAAGTCATTTAAAATGTTAATGGTAATTTCCGGTAAACTGTGTGCAGACAATCGATTGTCAGCTAGTGTCATTTTAAATGTGTATAGTAATTTTCTATTATCTTTGGGTGGGCAAGCAATCTGCGGTTCATTGTCTCATTGTTTGCTTTGCAGAGTACGGTGGGGAGTGAGAGTTGATTGCATATTTAGTGCTACAGCTTACAACCATATTATACCTAGATGTAATTTTCAACCAAAATGGGTAGATATGCCCAGCTGTAGAAACTCGATATTAGTTGGAAGCATCAAAAACCACGCCAAAATGTAAGCTGTATATGAAAGACAGAGGCTATGACCATGGACATAAAAGTAATGGGCTTATTTGTAGAAGTTTGATCTATTTTCATAACAAACGTGCCCTGTAATATCCAGTAAAGTGTGAGCAGGGTGCGTAACACATGGAGCAGTCACACACAACAGTTACGGTTATTTGTGGGAATTTGATGGCACTGTATATGGTTTGCAAAGTGACATCAGTTAAATTTCTCAGAACTATATTTGGTGTCTTTCATGTTTAAAATGTGTCTGGTAATTAGCATGTGCCGCCACGCTAACCTCCCACCCCTTCCCTTCTGCATAACATCTTCCATGAGATCTCACAGTGTAACCTATGTATAAAATGACTGATCTGTTTGAATATATCGCCTTTACCATATATAAAGCCAACAATAACAAGTAGACAGACACTGTTCTTTAGCCACATAATGAGAAGAGAGGCACTGGAAAACATCGTGACACCTGGAAAGATCAGTGGAAAGAGGGGTACAGGCAGACCAAGAGAGATGATGCTGGATGGGCTGAAGTGATGGCATGGAGGGATATCATCAAGAGAGCTGTTCCAGGCAACCAGGGATCATGATCTGTGGAGAAACTGCTCAGTCCCCACAGTCAGACTACAATGCTATCAGTTTTACTGTTAAATGTAATCATTCTTTCTACTTGCTCCTCTCTGCCACCAGGTTTAGTAAAGATGTAAAAACACATCTGTATGTGTGTACCTGCACTTGTTTTTGCCTGCTGCAGCCTTGAAAACAAAATCAGAAGCGCTTGAAAAACCATTGAAACCCCTTTGAAAAAATGTGGTGAATTTAGCTAAAAACCCTGGCATTCAGTATGTCGGTCTGGTCCATTACTCGCCCTCCACTGCAGTCCTACCTGCAAGCCTATCAGCTTGTTCATTTTCCTTTACACAGGTAATGTTTTCACTGTGCATTATTTGTTGAAGTGCATGAAAACTGTTCAAGAAGTTCCTTGCTAACATTATATTGGAAGGCACCATATGAATAATATAAAGATATTCATCTATTGATTTCTTTATTATATCTAATTTATGATAAATTAATTAACCCCTCCTATAACCTACACCACCATACAAATTGTTAATATACAGTAGAACAGTTTTAGGCAAAATATACAGTGATGCCACGGTATGTGTCATTAATCCACTGCATATCCTTGGACTTACACCAAACATAATGTTTTCTAAACAAATTTTCCCATAATAAATAAAGGAGGAAAGATTAATTTATTCTCGCGAATAACATCCTATCCTTATTGGTATATTTTACATTGATGGGGTTGCATAAAATAATTTAAACACTGCTTAATACTAATACATAAATACAAAAGCAATAAGAAGAAACAAATAATAAGTTTACCTCACTTTATACCTTGCTGAGGAGAGTCAAGTGCCTGATAGGGTGGTACTGAGAAGGGAGGAGGAGATTTTATTGCTTGAAAGGAGAGTTCCCCTTCCAATCAAACTTCAGCAATCTGAAATTCTTGTGTTTTTTCACACCCCCCCCCCCCCCCTCCTCTCTCTTTTTCCTACTTGGACCTGGTTGAGGCTCAAAAGTTTCTAGCATATGTTATGTTACAAACAAAGATCATCTACGAAGCAACATTGTTTGCATGTAATGGGGATGTTAACCTAGTCGGACTTATTAGACAGCGGATCACTATATATCATTTCATTCTTCTTGTTGCAGGGATTACAGACACTGCCAGCAACTACTGGATCCCCATGGCAAACCAGGCCGTCATGGTCATTTACAAGCTGCTGGAGTCTCCAGATATGGTCTGTGCTGGTCTTCTGAGGGAGATGGGAAAGGTTCTTCTGGAGATCTGTGAGGCAGCTAAAGCAGAAGAAGGAGGGGGTGAGATGTTTACAGTGTAGTCTCGTACTGTCTTGCATATTATCTTTACAATCATCTTGGGAAAAGTTATCACTCAGTTACATGTTTGTTTCTATGTTTGTTCAGTAGTTAGCTGTTGCGTTTTTCTCCATGTTTAGACTGAAAGGATAAAGTTCCATTACCCAGCTACTGAGTAGAGTTCATGGCATGACACTGTGAGCTGCAGATTTAGTTTGGAATGCTTTTCGACTGTGCTAAGTGTGGTTTGTGATGTGAACTGCAGATTCAGAAAATGGCTAGCTGCCTGTTGCCAGAGAACCTTATGTGATTGATTGTGTGTGCAACTACTGATCTTTTGTAACTGCTGCTTTTGTCGATAATGAACCACATTTTTAGTGTCACAGTTATGCGTTTAATGTGCGTGTATGCTGTTGGATTTGCTAAGACTGCAGTCTGTCAATTATTTTCACAAGAGAAGTGACGGACATTCTGTGTGGTTTTCTTTGGCACAGAGAAGAAACAACTATGGGGTGATCTGTTTCCTATGACGTTTGAGCTGTGACTACCTGATAGATTATCAGTAAGTAAAATTATTATGTATCCATTTCAGATGAAGCCATGAAATCCAGCAGTGTCACCTGTGTTCTGACTCGGGTGTTGTCCTTTGCTGGCCAGGTAGCCTTCAGCCAGGCTGTCTACATGGAGGTGGATGTCCTGACCGAGCTCAAGAGGAGGCAGGCCGTCTCGGAGGAGAGCTCAAGAGGAGGCAGACGGAAAAGTAAAGGAGTGACTTGCAATTCTAAGGTGTGTATGTATAACCGTATTTTCTGATGTTATTGTAACATCATACGTTTTTTTAACTGTTGACAGGTGTTTTTATTACTTTATTCGGTGTCTAGCAATGTTGCATTTACCTTATCATCATGTGCTGTGCGATTAATGTAGGCTGTCATATTTCAAATCTCCCACACAATCACCAGAATCACAGGTCAGGTCAGTGTTCTTGTGTTGGCCATCCATATGACCAAGCCATCCAAGGATTTATCAGCTTGCCTTCTTCTTGTTTTGTTTCAATGAAATCTTCCTACTTATTATCAAGTTCCTTGAGCCAAGACTTTTTGAAGGTTTGTGAAATCATAATTATTCTTGGCAAGACAAGATAAGATTTAAAAAAAAAACAAGAGTTATTGGAAAGAGAAGGTATCACAACATATTTATCGATGCTCACTCTCTGAAGGCTCAAGTGGCTGGGTCAAACTTGGAGAATGGAGGATGGTCTAAGGACATCCTCTTTGGTACATTACAGATAGGTAGAAGATGCTGAGGTCAGCCTTTACTATGATATAATAGATGTTTGCAAGCAGGACTTGAATGATACAGGTTTTGAGCTAATAGATTAACGGCAACAGAATACCATGTGCCAGGTTGCAAGGAGGGGGTACAATTAAGAAAGAATAGGAATAAACAGTTGCAGAGTGGTTGAGAGCGGAGCAGGTGAGAAGCAAGTAAAAATACAAGCATTGGGAACAGTGGTTGTTAAATACCATGCTGTAGTTGTGAAAAGTGGTCAATTAGTGAAAACTTATTTGGAAGCTGCGGAGATGTGGTTTTACAGACGGATGATAAGAATACCCTGGTCAGGTAAAAAGAGTAATGCAGATGTCTTGAAAGAAACTGACAAACGAAGAGAACTGATTGCCCGCATCAGAAAGAGAAAACATTGTTTGGTCATGTGATGAGAAGAGAACTGGGGTACTTTGTAATAGCAGGAAAGTTAGAGGGGAGGAGAGGCAGAGGGAGACGGAGAGAAAAGATGCTGGACAGTTTGACATCATGGCATGGAGGATCATCTGTGTCAGAGCTGATTGAAAGTACACGAGACAGAAAGTTGTGGACTGACATGACTACCAATGCCACATGACATGGACTTTAAGAAAAAGTTGTGAAAGACTTTTCTCAACGCAAGCAAGTCTTGCAAGTCACACTCACAATGGGCTATGATTCGAATGCCTCCTTATCACACAATATAACACTATCATCTGGAAAGACAGAAAGGCGCCAACAAATTAGAACTATTTGGGAATGGCCTGTATGATGTTGATCCCATCACTTATCAAGAACTGTTTGGTCTATAGCAAAAATAGGTCAAAGGGCATATGCATTTTGTGCTGAGGGCATGGAAAGGGTCCTTTACTCTTACCAGGATTCTTTTGTTTATTCATCATCATCATCTTCTTCTCCTCTTTCTCTAGTCCTCTTCTGTCTTTCAGCATCAGGTTTTTGAAGAGGCATCTGGTGCTAGTCATGGTGTGTGCTACACAGATACTAGTAGTATTCATGGCCCCAAATGTTCCATTTATCCATTGCTTGCATGGGCAACCTTCAGCTCCACTTCATTTGTATCTATCTGACAGGGCTCTCTGGTTTACCATCTTGTAGTTTTGACACATGTCCGAACCATTTGATATGTCATCAGTTAATGTAGTTTAGCACTAGATCTGTCCCAGCTTGTTTCCTAATATTGCCATTTCTGATCCTTTGTCTTCTTGTTACATTTAGTATTCATCGTAGAAATTTCATTTCTGTTGTTTTGATAATCTTGAATGTTAATCTTACAGATATCTGTAGCTGTAACCAGGAATATTATCTTTCAAAAATGTGTATACTCTACACAGGGAAAAGATGCAGAATCAGAACTAGAAGAAGACATGGCGCTGGCCGGAGCCTCGGCAGATGATGCAGAGATGGAGTATATTAGAAAACTTTGTGAACAGGAACTTCTCAGCAGTGAGTTTTCATCATCTTCATCATTATGGTCATTGTTTTCATTATGGCTTCATTAAAATCCTTGCCAGCTGGGGCTGGTTGATCACGTTTATGTTGTTCCACAACATCCTTCCTGTAGTGTTATTTTGAATGTAAAGTTGTTGATTCTTTTAGTACTAAACAACTCTACATACGTGTCTTGGTCATTCACACAGATCTTCACTTTATGAACATTTGTATGTGAATCTTTAAAAAATAAATTCTGTCCACTTAGGACTCTGTTGAACTCCTCCATGAGTCGAAGAAGGGTTCTGGACACACACCCCCCCCCCCCCCCCACCTCTCATTTTCCTTCAATGTTTCTGGAGCGAAAGAGCCAATACAAATTTTGTTACTTTGTGTTCAATTATTCTGTTTTGTTATTGTTTCAGCAAACAGCTTTCTCATTAGTTTACAGCCGTTGCTTATTGCTGTGTGCACCAACAGTGCCAAATTTTCTGATCCTGATTTACAAACAGCGGCAAGCCTGACTCTTGCCAGATTTATGCTAGTGAGGTAGGGCATTTGTTTTGTTTTGTTGAATTTTTTATTTTAGGGCTTAGCTTTGAAGAAGTCTGTGGGTAGTAGGGGTATTGTGGGCACCTTGTTAAAGGTGATGTGCTAGATTATGTGCTGTAGTATATTCTGACAAAAGGACCATTTTCCCACATCTTCAGGCATGTTGTGAATATAGTGGTAGACCTGTATTTTACAGACCAATCAGCACTCCGTAGGTAATGTGGTCAGCAGCACGCCGGCCATCTTTACTTCCCAAGACTTTGACCTTGCACCTATTTGAGACTGGGTCAAACTGGGTCATTAAAAAAGTCCAGATAAGTTCGGATTTGAACCACAACCTTCAGATCTGCAAGCGAATGTCCAGCTGCTACAGTATGGCAGCTCCCAAGATATTCTGGTTGGTATCTGAGGCAGTGGGCGTCTGGGGCAAGACCCATATTTATATGGATCTCCACTTGGTAGTGTGGTCAGCATCCTGCCAAGTACCTTGACTTCCAAGACATTGCCCAAACATCATGCTAACCACCTTTACTTCCCGGGATGTTGCCCAATAAACATTTGAGACCGGGTTGACATGGGAGCCCTAGATCCAGAGTTTTTTTTTCTGGCGATAGGCATGGTTGTGCTGCACTGGTACCTTTTTTAAGCATAGTTTAAAAAAAAAACACACACACACACACACACTTTGTAGTGAGCACCGGCACCCTTTTTTTGTAGATGCTTTGTGGTGAGGACTGGCACCTTTTTTCTAGAAAGCAAGACCTGCTTAGATCAACTGTTAAAATGCAGCCAAGTGCAGACATGAACCCAAGACTTTCTGCCAGCAGCCATGCGTCTGGCCTCTGCTACCATGGCAGCCTTATTGACCTATTTAAGCTCTAAATACTGTCTGCCTGGCCACTTTAAAACATGAAACATAAATGTTATATTGTTTTCTCACAGCTCCCATGTTTTTCTAATGGTCTTATAGAGTTAAAAAAAAATGGGTTGGGGGGGGGGGGGGGGGTGTCTCCCAATTCCCAGATTTGGTAATGTTGCTAATATATATATTAATATATGACAGATTGTTTACTTTCTGTTCTCTCACAGTTCCAAGTTTTGTTAATGTTGCTAATATATATGTTAATATATGAAAGATTTTTTACTTTCTGTTCTCTCACAGTTCCCAGTTTTGCGAGCCTCATCTGCAGCTTCTGTTTACGATCCTTGAGAAGTCATCATCCTCCGTGATTCGCTCCAACCTGATCATCTCCCTCGGTGACCTCACTTTTCGGTTTCCCAATTTGATAGAGCCCTGGACACCCCACCTCTATGCCAGGTAAGATACTTTTGGAGCATCATTATATAGCAGGTTCTTTACAGAATGTCCCTCCCATCACAGTCTGCCTGAAAGAAACTCGGCCCCTTGCCAGCTCTTCCACCTCATGCACTTTCCTACCTAAGGTGTCGTCTCCTTTGTCCTGTGCCCACTTTTGTAATGGCCACTCTCTTACCGTATACCATACACTCCACTACTGTTCCTTCCAGACCATTGTGATGTTTTGTATAGTACTTCTGAGACAAAACTTCCATGATTTCCTGAGATGGTGATCTGGTGCTTTCCCCTTGAATTCCCCTTGAACATATCTACATTGCTTGAGACCAGCGGTTCTCAAAGTTGAACGACCCTTTCATAGGGGTCACCTAAGACCATCGAAAAACACATATACATTGAAGTTATGAGGGAAAATGATTGTTTGGGGGTTGATACAATATGAGGGAACTGGTATTAAAAAGTCACGGCATTAGGAAGATTGAGAGCCACTGCTTTAGACGTTGTCTTCAGCCTAATCAAATATTTAGATTGCCACGGAAAGTGAGTTTTCTGCTCGATGGTACTTTTGCTAACAACAGAGGGCACTCTAGATGTGTCCACATCTAGGTGGATACTTTTGGGTCAGTATTGTGAATAGGCAGGCTGACTATTTTAGCTTTGGTAAGCTGTTTGCTTCTAGCCACGGTTAGCTGTTCCATATCTGGACTAAAAGTGTAATGTTCTGTCACTGGGTACTAAGTTGAGTGCATGGCGAAACACTGAGCTGCAGATTTATTTTGGAATGCTTTTTGAATACGGCGAGTAGCGCCTTGCCACAGAACTGGTGGTGTCTTTTGTGATAGTATGTGTTCAGAGGCACGGTGATATCGATCACAGGCTTGAGAGAAAGTTAAGGCTGCTGTTATGTGTATAAGGAGTTACTCCGTACCTCAGCTTGAGCGCCAGCCAGCTCTTGGATGGTTTTACGAATCCTCACGCAAGACTTCTGCCACACGTCCATGTCGTGAGCCGTAGATAAAAGATCACCTTTGTTACCTGAACAGAGCTGGCAGGGGATCTCAGAGTTGGTAGCCTCTAAAGATGTTGTGTCCAGCCTGGCCCACATCAACTCACCCGCAACACATGAGTGAGAACGTCTATCAAAGCACATTTGGAACATGGGTTAAGTCAGCTGGCTGAAAATATCACTAAATGACAACCTTTGGTTTAAACATCTGTCGAGTGGGAAGAACTACTGTACTTTTGAGATTCAGGACCCCCCACCAAAAAAAAAAAAAAAAAAAATCTGCTCACAGCCTAGGTGAGTAAAATCTCTTGCGGGCGGTAACACGTGCAGCAGTCTCTGTCTCCAAACATCCCTTGCAGTTCCTCAACATCATCGTTACCGTGTTAGGTTACACTATGACTGTGTACTGGTTTGGCATAAAGGTCCATCTGAGACATGTCTTGTGACATAAAAACGAAGTCCTGAATGTCCAACTGAAAAAGTCTTACTAATTGGCAGAATGGCTCATGTGCCCGTTACGATTGGCCTCACTCAGCAGAGTGTGGACCTGAAAAGAAGAGCTATAATAAATGCATGCTTCTACTGTACTGTATGATAAGTTTTCAGGTGAAACAATTTTAAAGGTGTCTTAAGGTGCCGAAAAGAAATGTACCTATTTGTGTGGCCATCGATGTCCCAGAAAATGTACTGCTGCTTGCTGATTTTCGATTTGTGCAGCCCTTGACAATTGGAGAGCTCAACATACGGCTGTAAGATTAAGCAGACATGTGCAGGACGTGACGATACCTTGTGTGAGCCTAGGACCATAGCATCATGTTTCAGCTCTGCCTTTATGGAAGCCTCCTTGGATGGTGGGGAATGCCCATGATCTGCCCTGCCTTCCCTTAAGGGGTGCGAATGCCCTGGACGGGGTCTCCAGGGGCAAGACTTATGGACAAGGGAACAAAGAGAATACCACACAAATAAGGCCACATGTTCATGTCCCACCAAAATATCCAGGAAGGTAACCTGGTCAGTAAATGTTCGTTGAAGTCAGATGTGTCTGCCAAAAAGAGCAAATATCGCAGCCTTGCTGTAAACAGGCACAAGGCATTAACATCACTCAGACAAACAAAAAGAACAAGTATGTGTTCAGCTGCCAGTTTGTTGCAATTGCTGCTTCCATCCATGATGAATTGCAGCTCTAGTGGCGGACTGCTTGTGTTAGCATTTCTGTAGGCTGCCTTATGCAGTTGGCTTTGTCAAGACTGCAACCTGTTTTCAATGTTTTCACAAGGGTCAGCAATGGGCATTTTGCATAGTTTTTGTTTACTGGCACAAGAACGGAATGGCTATAGGGTGACCCATTTGCTATGAAGTTTGATCTTCTGTTTTCTTATAACTATCCCTGTCCTCATAGCTGTGTTGACCATACAAGAGTATGTTTATCATACTCTACATCATGGAGGTGCCACCATCATTTAGTTTCGTCAAACTTTTCTGTTTTCTAGACTACATGATGATTCCCCTTTGGTAAGGAAGACAACTCTTCAAGTCCTGACCCATCTAATTTTGAATGACATGGTTAAGGTGAAAGGTCAGATCAGTGAGCTAGCGACCTGCATTGTGGATCACGATGAGATGATTTCTGGGCTTGCCAAGCTCTTCTTCCATGAGCTGGCTAAAAAGGTCAGTGCTGTTTGAGTGGAAGCATGGGCAGTGAGCATACAATTAGACATTCTGTTAGAGGTTAATCTTGTGCCACTTCTTCTTTTCTTCAACTTTATTATTTTTTCTCTTCATTCTTCAACTTTTTTGTATTCTTCCTCTTGCTCTTCTTCTGTTGCTGTTTCTTCATGTTAAACCATTCTTCCTCATTGTGTGATTTCAAAATTATTAATATCCATTAGAATAACACTATTCCTGAATGTATATCGAGTAAATAGTACTAGCCATATATTTATTGACCAGTGAGTGTTGTGATTAGTGTCATTATGAATATATCATGTCATCCCTTTGTGGAATGCAGTTTTTCGTTATTTGAAGCCCTACTCTGGCTCTTGCCAGTGGACGCAATATAGCCCGGCCTTAAATATGGTCTATTGGCTGAACACAGTTACTGGGACCTCTCCACGGGCGATCCTCATCCACATGGTGGCACTTTGTGTCATTGGGTGTTTATTGCTTGTGTGATTTCCTGGTGGGGTAAAAGAAAGAAAGATAGATCAGTGTCAGACTTTCCGCTTTGACCTTCCAGAATATTTCCTCATCCCCAGTTTAACATGGGTAGTCATAGGATCATTCAGTACAAAGAATTCATGTTTCCTTGTGGATTCAGCTCATGGCCTCTCACTGGACAAACAAGAGTGCTGGTTACTATGCCATGGCTTTGCTTAACTTTAAGAAAGTAAACACTTTGGTGCCATCTCTGCTGTGAAGGACCCACTGCTGCCTGTGGAAATCTTCTTAGCATTCACTGGCTAAAAACTCCAGCAGAAAGTTCTTGTTGGTTTGTCCACTTCTGGACTTTAGTCTTGTTCCACAACTTCAGTTGTGTGTGCACATCCATTTTTTAGATCTGGCTTATTTGTATGCAGACTGTTGGTTTCTTGCCTCTCAGGCAGATGCACTCTGACTTCGAAGGGAACACCCTTAATCAGTTGACTATTACACAACATGCTTGTTGGGTGGAGGGGGGGGGGGAGGGGGGGGGGTCTGTTCCACTCTTTCTTCCACAGTGGGACCACGAAACCCATATAGGGAGAACTGTATCTTCTTTGCATTCACCAGCAAAAAACTCCGGTCGAAATTTCTGGTTGTTGGGTCACCGCTGGTCTTTATACAAATCTGACGTATCTGTCAGACGGTTGTTTCCAGTTTCTATTTCATATTTTAGGGCAACTCGCTGTACAACATGCCTGATATTATATCCAGACTGTCAGATCCTGATATTGGCGTTGGTGAAGAAGACTTTCAGACAATTATTAAGTGAGTTACTGTTGTTATTTATTATTTTTTTTTTTTGGGAACTTCATTTTCTTTATTATTATTTTTTATTTTTTATTGTTAAAAAGTTTTGTGCTTTATTTAAATCCTACTTGATGGCATCACATGACAGTTCAACATTTTAGAGCGTGGTAAGACTGGTTTCCCGGTTTTCTGATGCTTTTAATGACCCCAAAACATCTAGAACTGGCCCTAACCCCAATCCACCTACGTCCCACGAGAGATTACAGCCTAGGTCTCACTCCCTGAAATATTAGACTGTCCCGTGACCTGTAAATTTTCCCTGTTAGAGTGAGATATTAATAAAGTACCAAAATTGTAAAGTCACCCCCCTCCCCAGGATTGCAGTCCGTAGGATGAACATCTCAAGGATAAGAACGATACAAATACAAATTCAGAAAACTAGGGCACCACAAACGGTTACGAAGTAGCATGTAGTACACAGTTAATGGGCCGTTATCTATGAAAGTTACTTATTCTGCTTTTGCCATTAAATTGGTGATTGCGTGCGATTTACAGCAAGGTATTTGCATCTTTTGACCCACCACATCCGATTTCAGCAAGATTAGTTGCACATTCTTTAGAGGACATTGCAGACCAACCCCATCCAATATTTGTTGGCTGTTTTTGGTTTGTTTAGGCATTTTAAAAAAAAACAAAAAAACTTTTGTAGTTTGCCTTTGCTCTCTGAGTGGTGGGCTTTCTACTAAATGTTTTTTAAACAACGCAAAACTATCTGCTGCCAAACGGCCTGCAGCTAAATTGAGCCTGGTATTTCAGAATCATAAACTGTGCTCATAACCCCTAAGCCATAAACACAGACAGCAAAATTAGTTTCCTTTTCATGACAGGTCGGCATCTGTGGCTTAGATGTTGTGAAGGCGCTTCATAATTCTGGATATGCCAGGTTTAGTCCCAGTTGCAGGTAATTTGGCAACAGACTGCCTTGCATTGGTTTTAACAGTGGTATCAAGAACCGACTGTCTAGAAAGTAATGGAAAATCTACTGGACGTAAATTTGCCTAGAAATCCACAGCCAAGAAATGCTGGGGTGGGTTCTGCAATGCCCTGTAAAGGATACACAACTTACTTTTTATGACAGACTTTCTGTTTACCCCCAAAGTAGGGCTCCGAAACTCACATTAGCAGAAAATTAAATGTCTTTCGTTAAAGTAACCATTGTTATCCATAACATTTTTTTTTGTTATCAATCATTTACTGTTGTAGTTAATAATTTAAGTATCTGTTGTAGTTATTAACTGAAGTTACTGTTATAGTTCCTAATTTAAGTAACTGTAGTAATTTTTAATTGAAGTTACTGTTGTAGTTCCTAATTTAAGTCACTGCTGTAGTTCCTAATTTAAGTTACTGTTTTACTTCCTAATTTAAGTTACTGTTGTGGAAAGGTCGGCTTGAGGTTAACTACTCTATATTCTATATTGTAGATAACTAAGCTGCAAAGTGCAAGTAATCGTGTACACGAAGGTCTTGATGTTAGTGCATGCTCCATTGGGAGCTTAAAGTCAGAAGAAAGAACTGCTTTTAAATTGTTCTTGAAAATTGTATTTAGAAAGCTGTCCATCAAGAGTTAACTTGGTCTAATTCTGCACAGGTATATTTTCTCCCACATTGAGAAGAGCAAGCACTGCGAGAGTCTGGCAGAGAAACTTTGCCACAGGTTTAGAGCTACCAGGTAAGCTTTCATTTCCAGATCTCATAATTTCTTAATACAGTGCAGACTGCTTAAGGCGATCTTTGATGTAGCAAATTTCATTTGTGAAGAACAATTTATTTATCCCTGGTACTTTCTTTGTAAAAGAAAAAAATTCCGGTTAAGCGGAATCCGTTTACTGCAAATTTTAGGATATGGTAAACGGTCAGATGTGTCTCAACAATATAATTTGATCTGCTCAAGGCAAACAAAATTTCAAATCCTGGACTTTTGTATAAATTGTTGGCTATGTTCAGAAATTGTGTGCTTTGTTAGTCTCATTTCTTTGGATTCAAAAAGACCATGGAAAGACATTTTGTGCACTCGTTACCAAGGTCATCATTATCATCATGTGCCCTGCCAGTTGGCATAGGTGCTCGTGCGTCTCCACATATCACGATCCCTGGTTACCCGGAACAGCTCTCTTGATAATATTCCTTCATGCCATCATTTTAGCCCATCCAGCATCATCTCTCTTGGTCTGCCTCTACCCCTCTTACCAAGGTAGAGAGGACAATTACAGATTTTTCATTTAGGAGTGCTTCATCTTTTAAGAGTGTACACATTCTAAAGATATTGATGCTTGGGTTGACAGTACAAACTATTTCACAGTTGGAAGTTTCAAACTGCATGGATAAAACTGCAGGTCAGTGTCTGTGGCTTTAAAGTTTGCAAACATGCTGCGCAATGCTGAGTTCAATTCCAGCGGCAGGTGAGTTGGATTTTCAGCTGTGGTATCGATGGCTGAATGTTGAGGAGCAGTGGCAAACTATTGATCACAATATTGTCTAGTCAAGTCACAACAGCAAAAATTGCTGGGGTTGGTTCAAAATGTCCTGTAAAAGATAATTTTTATTTCAGCATTCCGAGCTCTTGAGGTTCATTGAGCAGATATCACTTGCCTGTATTCATCTCTGTGGTTGACCTTTTCTTGCCAGCTGGTGACTCCAAGTAGATATCTGTGTCATGATGAAATGAGGTTTTACAAAATTGTTGGCTGCCATATGTAATTCTTATGTTTGTTTGTTACCAGAACAGAGAGGCAGGCCAGAGACTTGTCCTTCTGCTTGCTACAGCTGTCATACACAGAGAAAGGGTTGAGTAAGTTGTTAGAGAACTTTGCCTGTTTCGCTGACAAGTTGGTGGATAATGATGTCTACGCACATTTCTGTCAGATCCTCAGCAAATCCAAGCAGTTTATGCGGCCCGAAGCAAAGGTACGGAAGACATTCTTGTACAGTAAATTACACCATTTTTGTCTGTGTTCCTAAGTTATTTGCAACAAAAAAAAAAATGCGCACACACACACGCGCGCGCGAGATATATATATATATATATATATATATATATATATTTATATTGACTGTTTCTTTAAATAACTTAGACAGCAGCAGTGTTTAGTAAATTCCTTCTGAGTTGTATGTTTAACCAAAATATTTCACACTACTGTGATGTAAACTTACATCAATGAAAATAAAGTTAAAAAAAAAACCAAACATTTTACACCATATTTGCAGCAGACATTTAGGTTCTAGGCATGCATTTTTGATGAAGATCAACTGGCACAATGGGTGATGTGGTCATCATGCCGGCCACCTTAGCTTCCCAAGATTCTTTCTGTACTCTTTAGGTAAGTAAGGTTAACCTGTGAGCCAAAATCTTTAAAATGCCAAAATACTGATTAAAATCTACGATCTTGGCTAGGAAAGCCACTGCAATACGATGGCTCTCTTTTAGCTGAGAAGTTTAATAAATTCATCCTGTGTTGTTATATGATTATTAGGGCTGTACCGAATGTTCGCTTCGGGGCCGAATAGTGGACCTATTGACTAGTTGCGGTCGGGCCGAATACGAATAGTAGTTAGCTTACACCCGCTTCTGCATACACTGCCTTAATGCTGACAACATGGAACGATTGGTTTTGTTGGAAGCTAATACAGCATTCATGCATTAACTAAGCTGTCAGTGACAATTTCCAAGTTTAGTTACTTGTTATAATATTTAGGATTCTTTCATTCCTAGTGATTAGTTACCACATACTGACTGAAGGATGCAAAACATAAAATGTTTTTAAATGTTTACTATTCTGTACGAATACTAACTAGACATGGAAAGAATATAAACTCCGGCCACATCCAAGTCGATAATATGAAAATCAAACGAACGAAAACACATAAGTACTTGGGTGCAAACTTCAACTGCTCCAACATGTTGAAAGAAGAAATACAATCTAGAATAAAAGTATACTATGCCCTTCAATATCTGCTAAATTCAAAGTATCTGTCTCGAAACACCAAGATCAAAATATATAAAACGTTAATAAGACCAGTCGTTTTATATGGCTCTGAAAATTAGCAGAAATAAAAGAGATAAGGCCTTATTACAGGTTTTCAAAAACTGTCTTACGAAAAATCTTTGGACCCATCAAATATGCTAACAGCATAATCTGTTTAAATCACCAGTGATCACTGGCATCATGAGAGCTAACAGACTAAAATGGTTGGGACATCTTGAAAGAATGTCAGATGACAGAGAAGTTATACTGTATACGCGTGGGAGATGAATGGGCGTAGACCACGAGGCAGACAAAAAATAAGTTCGAGAGATAATGTCCAGCCAGACCTGCAAACAACTGGTGTCACAAATTGTCAAGATAAGGCCAGCCAGAGAAATGAACAGAGACAAGTGATATCTGCAGCAGTAAACCTCAAGGTCTCAGAATTCTAAAGAAGATGACTATTCTGTGCTACTTTATGAGAAGTAAAAGTTCAGAATGTGTGTGTGTGTGTGTTTGAAAAAAAATTTTTTTTATACACTATACAGTATTTGTATTCGGCCGAATAGTTGGTCCCGTTATTCGTATTCGGCTGAATAGTGAAAATCACTATTCGGTACAGCCCTAATGATTATCATTAAAAAAAAATACATAGACCGTTTAAAAATACATTGTTTGCTTCTTTCCTTTACCATAACTCAGGTAACGATGGAGGAGTTTGAGAGCAAGCTGGAGCAGGCCCACACCAGGGGACTGGAGGAGGGAGATGTTGCCATCAAGGCTAGCAAGGCATCTGTTGTTGTTGGCACCAGGGCTAGAGGTGGAAAGAGCAAGGCTGCAGGTAAAAGTATGGCAACTATTTTTGTACTGTAACCAGCTCTTACAGATGTCAGCTTCAAGCACAAGAATGGAGATGGAGGCAGTCGCTGCAGCTCAAAAGTGGATAGATAAAATAGAGTTACTGGCGGAAGCATAGTGTCTGATTTCTTAGAAATCAGTTGGCAGATTTTAATGCTTGTTTTTCTTTAATCCAATCTCCCAGAGAAAGTCGTGGCCCCCGACCTTTACCTGTGTTTGATGACATGAACTCTTTGGGCAAAGGACACTAACCTTTATAACAGTTTTAGAATTGGCTGAAACTGGGAAGGGGGGGGGGGGGGGGGGGGGGGGGGGTTATCAGATAGTCAGCAGCAACTGGTGACCATGGTGTAATGGGACTATAATGGTGTTTGTGACAACAGGAAAGTAGGAAGGGAAAGGCAGTAGGTGAAGGCTAAGGGAGATATATTATATTTAACATTGCGGCATGGAGGGGCTTCTATAAAAGAATGAGTTAGTACACGAGAGAGAAGATAGACCGTTTGACATTATGTCATTACTTTTATCAGAAATGAGTTACAGTGAACAAAAGAGAAGGCTGTAGACCAGCAGTTCTCAACCTGCGGGCAGAGACCCGTTTTTTTTTGGGGGGCGGGGGGGGGGGGGTGAATGAATGACCTTTTGGCATGCGTTGCCTAAGACCATTGGAAAACAAAATTTCATTGAAGCCATGAAGGAAAATAAACTGTTTGGGGGTTGCCACAACATAAGGGAACTGTATTAAAGGGTAACAACATTAGTAAGGTTGAGAGTTACTGCTGTAGACAAAGATGACCAATGCAACATTGTAGGGACTAAGTGAATTTGAAAATTGAACTGAGTCTCTAGAGATTTGAATGTATAAAAGAAACAGGTCGTATCTCAGGGAAACAAAAACAAATACAGAAGTTTTAAAGAGGCTTTAAAAATAAAAATGCCATCCATATTAAAAGACATAAAACACTTATAAAATTCATACTGGAGGCAAGCAAGCAAGATTCAGACAGCGATACAAGTGGGAGGATAACATCAAGAGATAGACTAACAGCAGTTTGACAGCGTTTGTTGGAGATTCAGCACAGCCAGCTTTCATTGCAGAGATGACACGTGATTGTTTATTGACCACCTAACTATATGAAGAAGTGATTTCAGATATTAGATTTCTATTTGTTGTTACAATTTTTGGGAGCAGTTTCAGCATTAATTGAGAAGTGGTTGGTCAAAAGAATTAGAACACTGGGCACTCATCCTGATCACTTGGATTTAGATCCCTGGTAAGGTTGGGGATTTTTAGTTTCCTGCGGGGGGCAAAAATAAAATCCTAACCTGCACAGTGTGTGACAACAGCACTAGCCAGGCTGCTCTAAATCCCCAGGCTCTAAGACCCACCTGGCCTACACCACGTAAGTGGTGAATGCAGGCAGTAATGGCAGTTGTTGGCATTTATGTATTTTGGCATTTAGGTATTAAATGAGCAACTGAGCAGAGTAGGGAACTTGCTTGTCTTCATAGTCGGAAACTGATTTTGAAGGCAGCTGTAACATACCCTCAGGTGGATGCCCAGGGAAACATCACATTATTTTCACACATTTGTGTGTGTGTGTGTGTGTGTGTGTGTGTGTGTGTGTGTGTGTGTGTGTGTGTGTGTGTGTGTGTGTGTGTATACACACACACACACACACACAAAAATGTGTGAAAATAATGTGATGTTTCCCTGGGCATCCACCTGAGGGTATATATATATATTATATATATATATATATATATATATATATATATATATATATATATATATATATATATATATATATATATATATAATAAAATGTAACAAATGCCTGGGGTAATAAGTATTAACTTCAATTTCTCTGTTATATTTTAGCCTCAAAGAAGAAGCAGATGAAGAAGGATGATGATGAAGACGATGAGGAAGTGGATGTTCATTCCCCATACAAGCCTCGACGGGGAGTGAGAGGGCAGGGAAAACCTGCCAAACCTCGCTACGTCATTGACTCCGATGATGAGGACAACGATGGCGACTTGTTTGACTTGGGAAAAGAAGGTTTGCATGCAGTTTGTGTGTACCTGTTTGTCTTCCTCCTATTATCGCTCACTGGCTGAAAATCTCAGCAGAAAATTCTGGTTGATCCTCTACTTCTGGACTTTGGTCTTGTTTCAGACCTTGAATTATGTCTACACACCCACTCTATTTATCTAGCTTATTTGTATGCTGACTATTTAAAAATGTTACGCTGGGGGGGGGGGGGGGGGGGGGGGGGGGTGTGACATTTATTTATAGCCTTACTACATTGGCAAGCTGCATTAACAACCTTTTTTTTTTTTTGAATTTTAACAAATATTGGAAAAAAATTTTTAAAGGAAAAGAAAGGACCGTTTTTAAAACAAAAAACTGGTGGTACATCAGGCATATGATGTAGAAAAGATGCATATTCTGATAGATCAGTCGGCACTTTCTAAGTAATGTAAACATCATGCCAGCCTCCCTAATTTTCCACATTACCTGGTACCCTATTAGGATGGGTCAACCCTGGAGTCAAGGTAAATTAAAAAAAAAAAAAATCTTTCTGGCTGCGAATTTGAATCTATGACCATCGGGCTGGCAGATGAACATCTAGCCGCTGAGCTGCCGCTACCCAATTAGTGTCATATCATCACCATGTGTCCTGCCCATCAGCGATCCTTGGTATTTTGAATCCATTCTATTGATATTCCATTATATTATGGCTTCAGGCTGTCAGGCGTCTCTCTTGGTCTGTCTCTGGCTTTTCTACCGTTGATCTTTCCAGTCATCATGATGTTCCCCAAGTGCCTCTGTTCTCATCACCTGACCAAAAGTTCCACATAGTGCAATGATATTTATTTGAATTCCAGATTGTCCTAATAAGACATGAATAAAGCAGATACAGATCTTTGAGACTCAAAAGTGATCTTTATTTGTTGCCAGGAACCACTGAGCGAGGTCTGGATGCCGACGACAGTTTTGTGACCAAACCTTTTGGGAAAAGATCCAAGCGAGGAAAAGTTACATTAACCCCTCTGCAGTCACCAGCCAGCTAACTTCCTTCACTTGTAATTTTGTTCTGTAGAATGTGATTATATTTTTTAGTGTAACTAACCTGTTCTATGTTAAAAGTAATTATTGATGCTCTCAGGTTTTTCTTCCTTCTTTTTGTTCTACCTGCTAGTGGTTTTCAAATGAGAAGGCCTACAAGCCTTTATGAAGGCTACGGTGCAACACATGTCCTCCGTGAACTACACAGCTTGGTTTTCTGCAGACTGCAAACTGGTCAGACCTGGTATATCTCTAGCTTTCTTCCACAACCTAGGAAATTTGACGCCCTACTGCATTTTTTTTCCCAGCTAGCCAGAGTGTCTGTTTCTTGCTGGTGGTTTTAGGTTTTGCCAGGTGTGTTTTGATTTCTTCATTGCTCTTTTACTCATGTAAATAGAATCAATCAGATGACATCTCCACATTGAAGACTGGATGTAATGACTCTTTAACAGTTTCTGTCTCTTGTCTTGGCTGTACACCCTCTCAGGCTGCTGTTCACCCATCTCTCAATGTTCTCCTCCCACCTGTATCATTGTCTACCTCTTGCTCTCTTGCCTATGACCTCTCCCTTTAGTATGAATTTTAAAAGAGTGTTATGTCCTTTAATGTAAAGACAATAGCTGAACAAACTGGCAATGCATACTGGTACTACAGGAACTGAGACTGTTCCATAGCAGCTGTTGACCACATGCCATCTTCCAAGTAGAGATAGATGAATGGATGGATCTATGTTCAGACGTAACACACTGATGGATATATAAACGGACCGACACACAAACCTTATACAGTGCAGGCTGTTTACGGCGATCACGGATGTGGCTGATTTCTGTTGTGAAGACAGAGCAACATCATGTTTATCCTCAGCAATTTTTCTTGCTTGAATTCTTCTCTGCACCAAAAAGAATTTATGACAAGTAGTACCATTTCCTGGGTTCCCAGGTCTGCACTGTATCGTGGTCCTCTAAGAAAATAAAATAACCTAACTTTAGAAAGAAAACAAAAAGTATACACTTAACAATTTGCCACAGAGTAATAAAAACTATGGAAGAGGGTTCTGACCTTCAGAAGAAGTTCCCTCATTTTAGTGACTGTTTTGACCACTTTGCCTTCCTAACACTCGAGGGGTGGGCCAGCCTGGCCCTTAAACTGCTGGGTTTCATTCTCTTGTACCGCTAAATCTTTTTATACTCCGTAGCAAATGGAAATAATTACAATTGTAAATGCATTTGATATTTAGCATAGACCCTGTTTGATAACAATTTCTCTTATATTTTCATAGCTTTGCTGTTGTGGTATGTTATTAACGTTAAATAATAATAATAAAAATAAAAATACACAGAATTATTGTACCAAGTTAGTACATTAACTTTTATGTCTTTATTCATATATTAAAAACATGGCAGCACGAAATTAAATGTCTTTGAGAAATCCTGATTGTAATAAAAAAAATAGGATATTAGAAAGCTGAATAATTATTAAACTGCATCAAGAGGTAACACATCAGACGGTTCAGACATGTGTCAAGACCACCCCAAGACAGTGCACCATAGAGAGGACATGTGTCAAGACTACCCCAAGACAGTGCACCACAGAGAGGACATGTGTCAAGACCACCCCAAGACAGTGCACCACAGAGAGGACATGTGTCAAGACTACCCCCCCCCCCCACCCCACAAGATGGTGCACCACAGAAAGGACATGTGTCAAGACTACCCCAAGACAGTGCACCACAGATAGGACATGTGTCAAGACCACTCCAAGACAGTGCACCACAGAGAGGACATGTGTCAAGACTACCCCAAGACAGTGCACCACTGAGAGAACATGTGTCAAGACTTCCCCTACAAGACTGCACCATAGAGAGGACATGTGTCAAGACTACTCCACAAGACAGTGCACCACAGAGATGTGTCAAAACTACCCCAAGACAGTGCACCACAGAGAGGACATGTGTCAAGACTACCCCAAGACAATGCACCACAGATAGGACATGTGTCAAGACCACTCCAAGACAGTGCACCACAGAGAGGACATGTGTCAAAACTACCCCAAGACAGTGCACCACAGAGAGGACATGTGTCAAGACTACCCCAAGACAATGCACCACAGAGAGGGCATGTGTCAAGACTACCCACACAAGACAGTACACCACAGAGAGGACATGTGTCAAGACTACCCACACAAGACAGTGCACCACAGAGAGGGCATGTGTCAAGACTACCCACACAAGACAGTGCACCATAGAGAGGACATGGGTCAAGACCACCCCAAGACAGTGCACCATAGAGAGGACATGGGTCAAGACCACCCCAAGACAGTGCACCATAGAGAGGACATGTGTCAAGACTACTCCACAAGACAGTGCATCACAAAGAGCCCTGCCACTTATACACAACAGAAGCAAGACTGAGAAAGCCATGCAAGTGATGGACAGGTAAAATATCAGAGGCTGTAAATATCAGCATCTCCTAGCACTATAGGCCTTTTCAAAATCTGACGCTAAAAGGCCGAATTTGATTACACAAAAAAAAAGGTATGGCTACAAGGTAACAGCTCTGGTTTCAGAAGTCACCTGGTCACACCCTTGCCCAGGCACGACTGCAGGTTTACGTCTGGCTGGTGTAGCCTTTATCAGTGCCCTAATTATGCTTATTTCTGAAGTCACTTACTGGTCACACCCTTACCCAGGCACGACTGCAGGTTTACATCTGGCTGGTGTAGCCTTTATCAGTGCCCTAATTATGCTTATTTCTGAAGTCACTTACTGGTCACACCCTTACCCAGGCACGACTGCAGGTTTACATCTGGCTGGTGTAGCCATTATCAGTGCCCTAATTATGCTTATTTATGAAGTCACTTACTGGTCACACCCTTACCCACGCACGACTGCAGGTTTACATCTGGCTGGTGTAGCCATTATCAGTGCCCTAATTATAATTTCTTTGTAGGTTGATCAGGGTATCTGGGATTTGTCTCGCTTTGCCATTCAGTCTGAGATTAACCTCAGGATGGTTTGGTAAAATTTTAGGTAGCAGGCTCGAGAGAAAATATTGATTGATTGATCGTTGCCTGGTTCAAATCCAAACACAGAGCTAAACAGAAGAACTACTGATTTAAATCTGATCAACCCTCATGTGGGTTCCGGGGCCTCATTCTGGAAGGAGGGAAAATCGAATAGAACCACCGTCCCCTAACAAACATGTCGTAAGAATAGACTAAATAGGGTTTTGCTAAAATTGGATGTGTTAGGACAAAAGACGCAAATATTGCAGCCTAGCTGTAGACTACAACTCAACATGCCAACCGCCCTTTAAAGGGCGATCACAGAAAAAGAAATGTTATCACAGGTTCTGATGTCAGGGCGTGAGATTAAAAACCTAGCTCTCTCATAAGCAGTGTGAAAAACAGTTTAAGTTAACAATAATCCCAAGCAGTTTTTAATCACCAAACTTAGGCCATTCCCAGTTAACCCAGCTCAGAATTGATACTGGAAAATGTCCTGGGCAGTAAAGGTGACCAGCATGACACTGACTACATCACGGGTCTATATGAATATGATTCTAGCTCTTGAGCCACTGGTGTGAAAAAAAAACAACCTTTTACTTTGTTTTATTTTAAATGAAGGCCATAGGGATGTTGCTACGGCAACTTGGTTAGGGTCAAAATGGTTGACTGGTTTAAAACTATGGGATAGAACAAGAAAACTAATATTTATATTGGATGGCACTAGAACAAGAAAACTAATATTTAGATTGAATGGCACTAGAACAAGAAAACTAATATTTAGATTGAATGGGACTAGAACAAGAAAACTAATATTTATATTGAATGGGACTAGAACAAGAAAACTAATATTTAGATTGAATGGGACTAGAACAAGAAAACTAATATTTAGATTGAATGGCACTAGAACAAGAAAACTAATATTTAGATTGAATGGGACTAGAACAAGAAAACTAATATTTAGATTGAATGGCACTAGAACAAGAAAACTAATATTTAGATTGAATGGGACTAGAACAAGAAAACTAATATTTATATTGAATGGGACTAGAACAAGAAAACTAATATTTAGATTGAATGGGACTAGAACAAAAAAAAACGAAAATTGAGTTTAGATAGGATAAACAAGAAAACTAATATTTAGACAATGGGACTCCTGAACAAGAAAACCAATATTTAGACTAAATGCGGTAGAACAAGATAACTAAAATTTAGACTGGATGGAACTATTGAACAAGGAAACCAATATTGACTGTTTAGCTTCCCACTAAGTTTTCAGCATTCTTCTACACAAACATGTCTGTGAGGCCTTATACAATTTTCTTTTTGCTTTTATAACCCATTTTGTGTTTACCCTTAAATTGACAGTTGGTTCACTGTGCTGTGGTTTACAGCAAGTCCGCAGCACCTGCGGCTTTTAAGACCTAGGTACTCACATCCACATGGTGAACTTGTTTGAATAAGGCCTAGCATATAATCATCATAAGTAAATCAAAACCTTGTTAACCCGAATTATTCCCAAGGGACCAATAACTGAATTCCTGTTAACAAAATGTGTGCTAACAGAGTACTAATAATAATAATATATCCTTGCTGGACCAGAAGTTTGTTCATGTTAACTGAGTGTTCTTCTAAAGCAAGTTTGTATTAATGAGATTTTACTATACATGGGTTGGTTGGTTGTAAAGAAAACAAAAATGACAAGCTTAGTCCTTTTTTAGCCGCCTGACAGCCTGCTTTTTCAAGGACGGGTTATTTGCTGAGTTTTAGTTCATTTCTTTGAGGCGATGGTTTTCGCCTGAGTTTCGCCATATGTGCCTGGAACGGGAAGGGTGGGGTTTTCTGTAGGTCTGGCTTCTGCTGTCAGGTTCTGGTGGTGTCCTGGAGTCCTTCGTTTTAGCGGGCTGGCTTATCCTGAAAGATGGCGGCTCTGGTTTTTGGCTTTTGCTACTTTAGTAGCGTCGTCGTCGCCCTCCTCGGTTGTTTCTCTTAGCAGGAGTGGTGTGTTCCATGTTATGCAGTTCTCTAGTTCGTAGTGGTCATTCTGGTCGGCTAGCAATTGTTCTTTATTGAAGTAGAATTAAACAGGTTCATTGGGCGGTTCACTGCTAGCAGTCGGATACTCCTGCTCTGCTTGTGTATCTTCTTCATCGGATATGATTTCTGCATCTGACTGTTCCGTGCCTGGGTTCTCTTCTGGGTCTTCTTGGTTGGTTTCATCGCATTCTGATTAAGTCATTTGTGCCTGATGCTTCATTGTTACGTTGTCAGTGGAGACGCCTTTGTCAGCCCTGTTGGTTCTTGGCTTCTTAGTAGCATTTCTTTCCTTCTCCAGCAGGGTTTGTTCTGTCTTGGCTGCTTGTGCTGCTGTTACGGCTTCTGCGGTGGCTTTCTCTAGCTGGGCAACTTCGCGGCGTGCGGCTTCGCATGCAGTAATTAGCTCGGCCTGCTCCTTCCTTCTCTCCTCTCTTTCTGACTGGCGGCGTAGTTTCCTTTTCTGCCTGGGTTGCTCTGAGACTGGTTAGTAGCTCTCTGGTCTTTTGTAAGTTTTCTGCGTCTTCTGACTGTCTGATTGCTTGCTGGGTAGCATGTGCCAGCCTGTCTGCCTTTAGGTCCTTGATCTCCCCTAGCAGAAGAGAAATCAGTTCTAGGGTCTCCGTTCTTTCGGCGGCCGCGGCGGTTCTTTCTTTCTGGAATGCTGTAATTTAGCTTCTCAGCTCATCGATTATTTGTGGTATTTCGTTTTGCTTGGTGGCGGAGCATGCCTTATCAGTTTGTCTTTTGTTAGGTTTCTCGGCTGTCTTGCCTCTTGTTGCCTGGGCGCCTGGTATGTATTTCTGGCGACGGTAGCTGCCATTGCTCTCCTTAATGTACGGGCATCCCAGATACCTCGACCGCGAGGTCCCGCGCAGTTGCTGCAATTCCGGTTTATGTTGGGCTTCTTAAAGTTGCTATCGAATTAGGCTAGCGGGCATTCCTTGACGTCGTGGCTTTTTGAGCAGTATCGGCATGATGGGCTGCTGCGGCGGTGTGCCACGCCCTGTTGCAGTGTGAGCACCTGATGATGTCACTGCTGTGGACTCCAGGCTGCTGCTTTCGTAGGTGGGTGCTGGTAGGTCCCTGCGCCATGACTGGGGCGGCTTTAGGTGATGGCTCCACGATAGGGGAGGCTTCAGGTGCTGGCTCCACGATAGGGGAGGCTTCAGGTGCTGGCTCCACGATAGGGGAGGCTTCAGGTGCTGGCGCCAGGAGGGGGGCGGCTTCAGGTGCTGGCATCTCTTGGATAGGTGAGGGAGGCGCTGCGATAGGGGGGCCTTCCTGTGATGCTGATGGAGACGCTGCGGCAATGTTGTTAGGTGTGGCCAGCATCTTCTTTGACTTAGGTGGGGCGGTTTGTGCCTGTTTTTTTCCATGATGGAAAAAATTATGTCAATTGTCGATATATACCGAAAGCTAGATTCCTGCGGAGTCGGCAAGACTTGTTGAGTATCCTGAAAAAGACACCAAATGTGCTTTCTCCACAGTTCACTAGACAGTCGTTTTGTAAAATGGTGCGAACGGGCTGCTAAAACTCCACCCGTAACGCCGAATGTGCGATAACCAGTCAAGACTGACTCAGCCGAATGTCAAGTGAATCGGCGTCGAGTATCTGGTTAACGAGAATCGGGCCACGAATGGAGAGTTAGCTATCGAGTGGAAGACGAGAGGTGCTTGCGACTGGGCTCTCTGCGCTGTGAATGAATCGAGTTCATTTTACTGTACATCAACATATAACCAAAATATAGGCACTTAGACTGAAAATCCTGGGAAGAACAGAACATTTATTTTATATAATAAAGCATGTATTTTGATTTTTTTGTATTATTTAATAAGAATTTACTAATTACATTACAAAAAAATTGTAGGAAATCTGTTTTTCTTTTCTAATCATAGCTTGCTTGATACACCTGGCAAAGGACCTTCCCACTTCTCACCTGTGGAATAAAAGAAGTTTCATTTTATCACTGAGCTTACCTGTCAACTCTTGACATCCTATACCAGTGGTTCTCAAGTAGCCAAGGTCCATGGACCCTTCTTATGTTTATAATGGGTCCTATAGTTTTTAATAGTCATACTGAAGAACAGAACACACCTCTCCCTCCCAAACAATGTTGTAAAAGTTGACTCAACCTTTCCTACCACACAATGTTGTAAAAGTTGACTCAACCCTCCCTCCCACACAAATGTTGTAAAAGTTTACTCAACCCTCCCTACCACACAATGTTGTAAAAGTTGACTTAACCCTCCCTCCCACACACTGTTGTAAAAGTTAACTCAACCCTCCCTTCCACACTGTTGTAAAAGTTGACTCAACCCTTCCTCCCACACAATGTTGTAAAAGTTGACTCAACCCTCCCTCCCACACACTGTTGTAAAAGTTAACTCAACCCTCCCTTCCACACACTGTTGTAAAAGTTAACTCAACCCTCCCTTCCACACACTGTTGTAAAAGATGACTCAACCCTCCCTACCACACACAATATTGTAAAAGTTGACTAGATCAGAGTGCATCTGCTTGACAGGTGAAGAACAAGCAGACATCATACAAATGAGCCTGATCTATAAAACCGATGTACATCACCCACCAAGTGTTGATCTATAACATATAGGTCTAGTCCTATATGCCTAATAGGCCTAAATGTGTGGAAAAGGATCTTTTTTACTTTTTATAAAATGGATGTGCACCCAAAACTTAAATTCTGAAATATGACGAAAATGCAGAAGTGGTCCCACAACCAGAACTTTCTACTGGAGGTGACAGCCAGTGAATGCAAAGAAGACACCATTGTGAAAATCAGTGCATACAGATTTTCTGCCAAATCACCTGCGGCTGAAATCAAACAGCATGTCTCGGAATTATGAAGCATGTTTACAACCCCTAAGCCACTGACACAAACTATCCCCACTGCAAAATATAGGGATAGTGCCATACACCCCAAGGGAGTGGCAGCAGTCATGGCTAGGATGCTTGCCCACTTTACAGTAGTCAAAGGTTCAGATCCGCATTAGGACAGATTTAAAACTGGGACTCTCCCAGGTCGACCCAGTTAGAAAAAAGGAGCCCCAAGAAATTGTGCCTGTTGAACCAAAGGTCCTGGGTTGAAATCCGCATCTGGCAGATTTTAACATTAACTTTGGCTACCAGGTTGACTCAGGCTAACCTGGATATCAGGTAATGTCCTGGAAAGTAAAGGCAGCTGGAAAGATGATTACACCACCCACTGAGCGATGGTGTGTAAAAGTGTGAGTCTAGAAGCATATCCCTGAAGTGGCACAGACCATTTTTTTTAAAAACCCAGAAAAAGTTTTGATTAATAAAAGTAGCCTGTTTAAACTGGAGGATATGATTGTATACGTGATCTGACATAGCATATGAAACTGATCATGTGAACTAAAACTATGTGGGTTAACTTACCCAACAAGTCGGCTAGAATGGGAAACCTGTCACTGCCAAACACCCATTCCTTCTTGCCATCAACGTGGGCCACAATGGTTGGTGAGCCAAAAGCCTAAAAAAAAAAAAGTCAGCTACACTGTAAGCATTTCAATTGTGATCATTCATTTCAAACCATTATTTACTCTATCTACTTCCCGTATGGGCTCCGGGACTTCACTGTAGGTAGAACAAGAATAGACCCACTGTTTTCCTAACCAGCATGTAGGAGTCAACTAATTGGGGCATCCTTCAAAGTTGGAGTGCATCTGCCCGAGAGGCAAGGAACTAATAGTCTGCATATAAATAAGCCGGTTTGTAAAATGGGTGTGCACACAACACGGAGGTTATGGAACAAGACTAAAGTCCAGAGGTGGACACACAACCAGAACTTTCCGCCACTGAACGTGAAGAAGAAGACTCTAAGACCACTTATATACCAACTGATGCCTTTATTAATTTATCCAAACACAAGTATGACTGCCAAGAAACAGATTACAAACAGCATATTCATACCAACACTGTGCTACCAGTGCCAAATCTGGACATTATCAAAGGCTAACCTACGCAAAATTAACACCTGTGAAGTGAGATAGCTAAGGAAAGATGCCAAATGAACCATCTGAGACAAAGTGAGAAATCATACTATTAGACAGAAAGACTGGGAACAACACCATCCACCAGATTCATATAGAAACAGGAGATCAAATGGCTTGCTCATCTCGCTAGGATGGAGCCAGAAAAACTACCAACATGCGCGCCACTCATGAAAAGTTCTGATGTGAAAGCAAGAGGCCGCCCTGGGAGAACATTGATGACATTAAAGAGCTTCTACATCAACATGAAATGACTAAAGCCATTGCTACCAATCAAGCAGTGGATCGCAAACTGTTCCTTCCAACAACACTTAACAGGAAAAGTGGACATTGTTACAGAGAAGACAGACTGACAACATTTGTTACCAAGAATAAAACAGACTGACAACATTTGATACCAAGGAGAAGACAGAATGACAACATTTGATACCAAGAAGAAGACAGAATGACAACATCTGATACCAAGAAGAAGACAGAATGACAACATCTGATACCAAGAAGAAGACAGAATGACAACATTTGATACCAAGAAGAAGACAGAATGACAACATTTGATACCAAGAAGAAGACCTGACAACATTTGATACCAAGGAGAAGACAGACTGACAACATTTGTTACTAAGAATAAAACAGACTGACAACATTTGTTACCAAGAAGAAGACAGACTGGCAACATTTGATACCAAGAAGAAGACAGAATGACAACATTTGTTACCAAGAAGACAGAATGACAACTTTTGTTACCAAGAAGAAGACACAGACTGACAACATTTATTACCAGGAAGACTGGATCTACAACATATGGAGGCACACCATAGCACAAAGCCTGGGCAGTGCTGGAGAGGCCATGTTTTGCTCATTCAGCTTGATCCCTCTCTCAGCCTACCTTTTTAAGGAAAGGTAACACCAATATATTTGTAGCATAGCATGGTGCAGAAGCTGCCGTGTCAGAGCTGACCTCCTAGACAGCCAGCTGCCAACTAAAGGGCCTGCTCTGCCCTGTCACAACATTAGGTTTTTAGGTTGCATTTCCTCTTCCTATGATAAGATAGTAGTTTCCCCAGTGCACTCCTCCATCCAAAGCCATTAGCACAGCATGGGATCGACAGCATTAAAAAAAAAAAAACAGGTTAATTTATAGGAATGCAATGGGGGATATTTTCACCCAGTTTAGGATGGTTGGGGGGAAGGCCCAAAGCTGACCTAAAACACCGAGATAGTCCAGATACTCGGATTCAACGAGAATCTGGAGATAGGTGAAAACCACTAGTTATCACGGGGACCACGATGATGCGACCCAAGGTCGCCACGTGAAAAGTAAAGGACCACCACGTGTTGTCACGTGAAACGAACCCGTGGTATAAGTCAGACTTGACTCTGGTCAAGTTTAGTTTGTGTCGACCTGTTGGAGTGAGAGGACGTAAGACTGAAAGTGAGAATGTCAACGTGAGAGTGCTTGTGGAGAAAGGAGACCCTGCCGACGAAGTGTGAAGCCGAGATCGACCATGCCAGTGTGTGAGATGGCCAGAACCTCAACGTGAATCCATGGGAGCCAACTTTGGTCAGTGAATGCTTGAAGAAGACTGTTCGTTGAAGGCTAAGTGAGTTTGGGTACGAGAGCTGTTCGCTAGGACACCGACAGGACATTCTTGTTTGTAAGTGTAAATATGTCAATAAATTCATGTCTCGTAAGCTCACATCGGTGTCGGCTTGTGCCAGTTGTGTAACGTGGAGCGTGTGAGAAGATCATCCACCACACACGCATGAACACTACCTAGACAACAAGAAGAAACACACACCACTTATTACAGGAAATAATAACAATCAATCAGACATGTGCTGTCTCCACACTGAAGGATGGCTGCAATGGGTTTCTAACACTGTTTCTGGTCTTGATCATAGAATCTCTCTGACTGCTGTTAGTTCACATCTTGATGTTGTCCTTAAAGTGCCAAATAACAATTGGAGTAAGTATCTAAAAATGTGTCCTTTACTTACCCCCAAATCGAGAGCTTCCTGCGTTGTCTGCTTCAACCGTTCTTTCACATCGTTACTGTTGATTCTGGGCAGAATTTCTGCAATCTGTTTCTCTGACAACCCGGCCAGTTTGGCAGCCTGGAAATAGCAGATAAGCGATAACATTTCATTGACAAATTCAAAATAATCAACAAAAGTTGATTTACAGATTCTCCATGATGATTGAACCTCTCTCCGTTTTCATCTGTGTGTATGTATCTTCTTCTCCCTATCTTTCTGTTTTTGTATCTATCTAGCTCTTACTATCTCTCGCTTTCTGTATCTATCTGTCTGTCTGTCTCTCTCAGAAATAAAAACACATATATACAATTATCTTTTAAACTTAAATGCTATATTAAATTCTTAGAATGTTGTAAATAAGAATTTAAAACAATTGAGACATTCTAAGGTGGATTTTGTCAGCGTCTGTGGCTTAGGCATTGCGAACACTCTTTGTAACGCCAGGGTGCTGGGTTCTATCCCTGCTGCGGACGATTTGTCTTGTGCTGCTTTTGATAGTGATACTGAGAGCTGACCGTTGAGAAGCAATGGCAAATTACTAAATGTAAACTTTGCCTAGAACAACCACAACAGCCAATAAATGCTAGGGGTTGGTTCTGCATAGTCCTGTAAAGGATACACAACTAACTTAAGGTGGATTATATTTATTTACTGCTTTACTGTCACATTTGAGTCCTTTTATGTAAAGGATCTAGATAAAGATCATTCCTCTGTTACTTGATTAATTCATAGATAAAGATCCGGAAACTGACAGAGATATTTCAATACAGATACAAAAAGCACAATCGATACTGTTGTATGGAGCTGAAACATGGAGAACAACAAAGTCACTTACTAATAAACTACAGATACTATAAGTATTATGAATGAATCCTCAATGTAGAGCTTTGGGAGATCACTAACATATTCCAGTAAATCAAGAGGTGAAGAAAAGACGCTGGCATTGAATAGGACACTTGTTAGGAAAACCTGAGAATAAAATAACTAGAAAGTCTTCACAGTGAAACCCACATGACCACATAAAAAAAAGGCAGATATTTAAAAAAAAAACACACACACAGAAGAAGGAAGCAAGAGAGTGAAAGAAAAATGATTGGGAACAGAGGGCATGAGCTGCATGCGATAGCAAAGGACAGGATAAGCTGGTTGAGGACCTATGCTCCAAATGAATTAATTTTCTCACCTTTATAAATACCCTCTTAAAGTGATTGGAAAAAGAAAGAACCACATCAGCTAGATGCTTGCTTGAGATCAAAGGTCAAGGCTTCTAATCCTTGTTAAAGTGAATGACACAGCAGAAATAACCTTATTTCTTTCTTTACAACCACCTATCTAACCCTAACTATTACTTTGACCTCTTCTGTACCATAGTAATAGTATTTTAACTTGTTCATGCATAGTCTTTGTTCCTCTAAAGCAGTGTTCCTCAACCTTTTTACACCCACGGCCCACTAAAATAGGGGAACCTGTTTTGTGGCCCACCTGACAGCTAACCAAACACAGAAACAAAAAAAAATTTAGGTAGCAATTTATTTGTCATTTCAGCTAATGCTATATATCTGCTATAGCTTAGAGGTGACAAAATCTAATAAACATGACTTGAGCATTGTTTCTGAAAGAGAACCATTGCAATAACATCCATTCAATTTTTCTGTTTGGTTTTAATTACTGACATGGCTGACAGTCTTTTTACACAAACATGAAGTCGAAAAAACTATAAACAATGAAATAACTAAGAGATGATGAAATGTTTTTAAATTTCTTTAAAATAATAACCGAAACACAGACAATGACGCAATTTTAAGTCTAGTAACAAGAGCGACATCGACATCAGAAGACAACTCTGTCAGCTTTTCTTTTTTATGATGATCAAGTGCATATGAACTTTCATCTTTCAAGAAGAGATTATTAATCCCAAGGTTGCCTTTATGAGGATCTTAATTTTCAGTTATAGTCCTTATTCTCAGATCAGACAACAGGCTGCGTAACTGTCAGGAGCCCTAAAATTGCTGTTTTATGTGGCTGAATCAGGTTTCTGGGATTTGTGCCTGTTTAATTCTCATCCTTGAAGTGTTAATCCTACAGACTGCAGTCCTTGAAGTGTTAATCCTACAGACTGCAGTCCTTGAAGTGTTAATCCTACAGACTACAATCCTTGAAGTGTTAATCCTAGAGATTGCAATCCTTGGTCTGGCTGAACTTTTTCATTTTAAATCTGCCAATATAATCTACACACATTATTATTCTAACTTTCTCTCTAATACTGGTATTCATAACTCGTGTCACTTCTTATGTTGCAAGTGATGTTGCGGAAACGCATATTTCCCATGTTGTTGTTTTCTGTTCTAGCACCCTATTGGTAGTCCATGTTTGGCACGGATAACATAAAGTAGGGATAAAGATGCTATTAATTATTTACTGTTTTGCTGGAAGAGAGACATTTGGGTGTCTAAACAGTGGAGCTAACTGGCAGGTGTTTGACTAACCTGAGTTAAACTTGCTGGTTCTGTAATGTCTTCATCCTGCAGAGAAGAGAGCATAAAACAGAAGTACGAGTGAGATGAGGCAGGCAGCATCAAATGATTATCTAAAATGACATGATGACACCGGAGACGCCCACATATTTATTCTCTCTTTCTCTATCCAGTGCTGCTCTGTGGCTTGGAGCAGAGCTTTCCAAACTCTTCATGTTAGCGATACTCTTTTTGGACAACAAATTTCGTGACACAATAATTAAGGACACATAAGTAAATTATAAATTATTTGTGTGACATCTTCACATGTCAGCTGACATACTCTTGCTCAGAGGTTACTGAATGAGTTTAACAATTTAATGATCCTTGAGTACCAGGATTCAATGACCTTTATACACATCCCGGACGAGGCTCCAATTGTCAGGGGTTGAAAGGCGGGTGGTAAGGTCAGAGCACGTGTGGATAAAGGTCATTCAACTTGCATTGACAGATGTGCTTACTTTTACTTCTCATATTCACCTCCGACTGCCTGAGCTTGATAATTATCAAGAGTTATGAGTGCTGTCACATAGTTCATTGTTGAAACACACAAAGCACATTTACACTGCAATCACGGTCATGATGACAAAAAGAACAAACTGTATCAGAATGTGGGCACAATCCATTCTAGAACATCTGTTGTAGATACAACATGTTGAGCTTTGTTACTTTTAACTGTATTAATCTGTAATTTCTACATCGTTCTAAATAATTCTACATATTATGTAACTCTATCTAACTCAATAACTAAAACCACTATTCATGCAGCGTGGCCACACTGCAGTTGTCTGGTCGACTACTGTCCCCAGCCAGTTTACAACCCGCGCTCACTTTTTCTTACTTCAGGAAGTTCACATGGCCTTCGTGGCCTGTGTGCACACCATGACAGTCACACATTTAGTGCTTTGACAGCAGTCCCACATTCCCCACATCTCCATCCCTACCCCAACCAATGATACTGGCAGTGACAAAGTACAGCATGAAGATGTCAAGAGCCAGAGGGAAGCCTAGAAGAAGATAGACGATCACAAACAGGCTGAGACCTACCAGACTGCCAAGCACCCCCTGGCTCGGCTACCAGTCAGCTTTTAAACTATGACGCCCGGCATATAATTATGTTTACAAAGATAATAATGATGTTTATGATGACAACAATGATGTTTACAATGATGACAGAGATGTTTACAATGATGATAACAATGTTTGTGATGATCACAATGAAATTTACAATGATGATAATGCTGTTTATAATGACAATAACGAAAAGCATTACTCTGTTCCATGCCCTCATCCAAAGCTCCCTGGAAACATTTCCCAGAAACTGTGGACAGGTCATGTCAATGGCTGTGAGAAACCTCTGGGGTATCAGAGTCCCTTTGGTGAACAGCAAGGCAACAGGATCCTGGGGAGAATGGACGCTTTCTAAAGAACTTTTATATATGAAGTTGATATTGGACCCCATTTCAAAAAATGCTAAATTGAAACTCTAGAAATGTGGTGCTAGGCCTAAATTTGGTTGAACAAACAGCATTTGATGACTTACTCGATGCTTAGAGGAAATACTGATATTTAATCAGGCTTTATTGGGCTGCGTGGTCATGAGGCATGGTGTCCGCCTCGAGTGCTAGAGGTTCCCAGTTCAATTCCCGGGAAGGGCTGAGATTAAAATAAATTCCCCCTGGTCTTTTTGGTGTCCATCTGGGTCAAGACCAAGAGAAATGTCATTGTTAAAAAAATGCCACTAAAAGGATTGGAGGTTCAGTGTATGGCTGGCTTTGAGATTTTGCTAATGAAGGGGCTTTTAGACTGTCAATAAATACATTTTAAATACCTCTGACACTATACCATTCAAGGAGTAAACCAAATCTGTAAATGGTTGAGGTGGCTAAAAGAGCAAGAAGCAGGACCTTATATCTTCTTTGACACCCAAAGCGATAAAAGAGGAAGTGAAGAAGAAGAAGAAATTAATTCAAAAAATAAATCCCATCTGAAGTGATTAGAAGTTTAGTGTGTGAGTGGCTTTGTGGTTTGCTATGGGACTGGCTTTTAGGTTGTCAATATATAAATTAATCAAATCAATCCCCTTTGATGTGTCTCCACCTTTATGTGGTAGAATGCTGTGCATGTGTGTGTGCATGCGGGCATGTATGTGTGCGCACATGTGTGTGCGTGTGCACGTGCCTGTGTGTGATCTTTTTTTCATCTTCTTCACATTCACTGGCTGTTTGTCTACTTTTGGACTTTGGTCTTGTTCCAGAACCGTTTTACCTGCATATCCATTTTACAGATCTTGCTTATTTGTATGCAGACTGCTGGTACGTCACCTCTCAGGCAAGACACACTCTGACTTCGAAGGAAACACCCCTAATTTGTTGACTTTTATGACCCATGTCAAATAAAATTATCCAACCAATGCACTGATTCAACCAGTAAATCATATTAATGAATTAATCTAATCGATCATTTAAAGCAAGACATTTCAGTCATGTCAACCAATCTGATTAATGAATAAATCCATTAAGGAATTCTTCTTCTTCTTCAATTCACCAGCTGTAAACTCTGACATAAAGTTCTGCTTGTGCATTCATATTTGGACTTTGGTCTTGATCTAGAACTTAAGTTTGCATGTACATAAATTTGACAGATCTGGCTTATTTGTATGCAGACTGTTGGTTACTCATCTCGCATACAGATAATGCACTCCGATTCTGAAGGAAACAACCCTAATTAGTTGCCTTTCACAATATGCTTACTGGGGGGTGGCAGCAGTGGGTCCATATCTCCCAGAAGACCCTGGAACCCGCACTATGACATTAAGGGAAATAATATGTGAAATAAATGAAAGGGGAAAACCCAAATCTCAATGAATAGCCGTGAATGCTTCATACATTACCTTTGGATTCTTAACAGGAACATCAAAGTACTTCCCCAAACGAAGGACATCTATAGGCATATACTTGGCCTTTGCTGGCACCATGATTGGAGGTTTATTACCTATTTGTTCAATTCATAAAAAAAGAAAATTAACTAATTTAGTAGCAAGTAGCTCCCCATAAGCTTAGTTGCTACTTATACAGGCTAACATCAAAAAAATCTGGCAACATCTAGACCAGAGGAGTGCAACATTTTTGAAAATATCCCATATCTGTAAATGGTTATTATCCTGCATACATTTAACAGAAAATTACACCTTAAAAGAAAGAAAACAAAACATTAAAGGAAAAGAAAATGAATTTTAATCTTCAACTTCTAAATAAAACAGTTCTACAGGGTTTTAATTTCACTTTAATATAATTTAATATAGTTCCTCAGAATTTTGATGCACTAAACAAAAAAAAAGCACTCGTAATTTTAATTCAGCTGAATAAAATGAGGCAAATTTTCCTTAACTCTTCCAGTCCCATGGGTTTCAGCATCAGAGGCCCCAAGGGATAGTCAAGAAAGATGCTAAATCGGCGCATCTTGCGTTCACTGGGCTTCTAAGTAGGAACCTATGAACGCATGACGTGTTCCTGACTGAAAGAGTTAAGCCATCTTTATTAGTTTTTGAAGTATCTTGGTAAATGTTGGGTACAAATTTGGCTATTTTTCAGCTTAAAATATGACATTCTCTATTAATTTTCCATGAAAATGTGTTGATTTAGGCCCTAAAATTAATTTTTCCTTCAGTCTTTAACTAGTATGTACCTAAAGAAAGCATTGTTTCCTGCAGATATAATCAAATTCAATTTGGGTTAATAACCTGTCCCTAATGTTTGGTGACATCAGCTGCATGGCCGGTCAGATGGAAACGGTCTTGCCTTGACCCATTAGGGTCATGGAGGTCTATAAACTAAAGCACTAGCACATAAAATCTGCAATCTTTCTTTGTCTTCCACTTGTTGAACAAGTGTACAATAACTGTGAAATTTCACGGCCGCCAAAGGTGGTGAAATAATTATAATTATGAAATTATATGATGTCACAATTTGAAAAAAAAATTTCACCCCAAAAAATATCTAAAATATGTGTGTGTAAATATAATCATATCTACCACGTCTACCGACTGTGCAGTTGCAACCTGCACCAAAGCTGTTATATAGGTGTAGTTACCACTGGCCTACGACATGCCATCAAAAACCCAGACAAGCCTAGATCTCAGCATTTACAGGGCGAGAATATTGATGGTCTTATTTCTCTCTTCTGCTTCACTGAAAATTGGACAGAAGCCGAGGCAGAGGGAGACAAAGTGAAAAGATGCCGGACAGTTTGACATCATGGCATAGAAGATCATCTGTGTCAGAGCTGACTGAAAGTTCATGAGACAGAAGGTTGTGGATAGACATGACTACCAGTGACACATGGCATAGACTTTAAGAAGAAGACTTCACTGCTTTTTTTTACTTCTGTATTAATGACCACATCTCTGAACTCAAGACTACTTTACCTTTATTTATATTTATTACTGTAAGGAGTACAAGTAAGCGTTTTCCAGCATTGTTCTTTTTCCGCCTTCCCACTTCCTATACAGTGTAAAACCTCCCAGTTCATGCCAATGCCTCTAGACTTCATAATTTTTTGGGGAATTTTTAGGGAAACAAGTTTTCTATAGCATGAGGAAAAAAGTATCATGCTAACCTTTCTTAATAGAGGCACTGGAACCTGGGAGCTCAGTGGTCTCAAGTCTCCCCCTTCCCCAATATTTGTCCCTCTCAACCACCAATAATTTTCAGAGACCTGAGAAATGCTAAAACTATTCAAAGTATCACGCTAACCCTTCTTAATAGAGGCACTGGAACCTGGGAGCTCAGTGGTCTCAAGTCTCCCCCTTCCCCAATATTTGTCCCTCTCAACCACCAATAATTTTCAGAGACCTGAGAAATGCTAAAACTATTCAAAGTATCACGCTAACCCTTCTTAATAGAGGCACTGGAACCTGGGAGCTCAGTGGTCTCAAGTCTCCCCTTCCCCAATATTTGTCCCTCTCAACCACCAATAATTTTCAGAGACCTGAGAAATGCTAAAACTATTCAAAGTATCACGCTAACCCTTCTTAATAGAGGCACTGGAACCTGGGAGCTCAGTGGTCTCAAGTCTCCCCCTTCCCCAATATTTGTCCCTCTCAACCACCAATAATTTTCAGAGACCTGAGAAATGCTAAAAACTATTCAAAGTATCACGCTAACCCTTCTTAATAGAGGCACTGGAACCTGGGAGCTCAGTGGTCTCAAGTCTCCCCCCTTCCACAATATTTGTCCCTCTCAACCACCAATAATTTTCAGAGACCTGAGAAATGCTAAAACTATTCAAAGTATCACGCTAACCCTTCTTAATAGAGGCACTGGAACCTGGGAGCTCAGTGGTCTCAAGTCTCCCCTTCCCCAATATTTGTCCCTCTCAACCACCAATATTTTTCAGAGACCTGAGAAATGCTAAAACTATTCAAAGTATCACGCTAACTTCTTAATAGAGGCACTGGAACCTGGGAGCTCAGTGGTCTCAAGTCTCCCCCTTCCCAATATATTGTCCCTCCCAACCACCAATAATTTTCAGAGACCTGAGAAATGCTAAAACTATTCAAAGTATCACGCTAACCCTTCTTAATAGAGGCACTGGAACCTGGGAGCTCAGTGGTCTCAAGTCTCCCCCTTCCCCAATATTTGTCCCTCTCAACCACCAATAATTTTCAGAGACCTGAGAAATGCTAAAACTATTCAAAGTATCACGCTAACCCTTCTTAATAGAGGCACTGGAACCTGGGAGCTCAGTGGTCTCAAGTCTCCCCCTTCCACAATATTTGTCCCTCCCAACCACCAATAATTTTCAGAGACCTGAGGCCCAAAATTTGTAAGGGGGCTAAGTGATTCCTCTAACCATCTACAGCATTCTCTGAATACTTGTTTATATATTTAATATTATTTCACACATATCCTCATTGTGGGGAGAACAAGAACTACTCAATGCCTCCCCAATAAGCACGTTGTAAGAGTTTAATAACTAGTGGTTTCCTTTGAAGTCAGAGTACATCTGTCTGAGAGGCAAGGAACCAGCAATCCGCATACAATTAAGTCAGATCTGTTGAATGGATGTGCACGCAACACTCAGGCTCCGGAACAAGACTAAAGACCAGAGGTGGACAAACAACCAGAACTTTCCTCCGCAGTTTACAGCTAGCGAACGTGAAGAAGACGAAAATTTGACATGTTATTATTATTATTTATTTGCCACTCAACAAATGATAATGGCGAACGAAAGAAGAAGAAGAAGAACAAATGATAATAATAAGAATAAGAATAATGACCCAAGACTTCAGCGCTCCCTAGACAACCTAAGGTGGTTGGCAGCATCCCCTCTTTCCCACATATATTTTCGTTGTATCTGTGCCTTTGATTTTTAGACATCTCATAACGACATAAATAGTAAATTACAAGGAGGAGTAGAGGAAGCCCTGGATTAGATTTACTATTCTTTGCTTTCTTTCTCTGTGAGGGTTACCCCACGAGCACCTACTGACTTACTGTTGTGGAACTAATGAGCACCAGGTAGATATATCTTACCTGTTCCAGCATTAAGTCCTCCGAGAAAAAAAGGACGCAACTTGAGATTAATGTTCCACCGATTCTGGTACCTCAACAACACCTTAAGAACACAAAACAGGGGTTTAACATGTACATTCAAGTTTCTTAAAATAACGAGGATAGCTCTGTGGCTTAAAGATTAGTGAAATTGTTTTACAATGTACTCCTTAGTGTTACCAGGGCTCAATTCCTGGGGCGGTTTGGAAAAAGACCATTTTCATGGCTTTAAGACAGTGGTAGAAGAGTCACACCGAGGAAGATACTGGAAGCCTCATAACATATAATTTCTATGGTTAGCAAAGGATACAAAACAACTAATTTCCAACGTAGACACTCCCCCCAAAAATGAGACTGTAGTAAGCTAACAATAAGCACATCTCAACGGATTAAATCTCACTTAAGTCTTTCAGCATCAGAAGGTTTCAAAAATGACACCAACGCGACAAAATAATCATGATGCCATATCCTGAATGTTTTATTTTCAAAGTGACAATATACATGGTTGTAGTGAACAGTGGTGAAAGCCAGATTTGTCTAGTATGTTCTGACCAAACACAGTTCTGACCATCATCATCATCATCATCAAGTGCCTTGTCAGCTGTCTTAGGCGTTCATACATCTCCACAGATCTCGGTCTATGGTGTTCTGAATCAATTCCACTGATGATATTCCTCCCTGCCACTGTCTTTAACCATCCACCATCTTTTCTTTTGGTCTGCCTCTGCCTCTTCTACCAGTAAACCAGTAACCTTTCCAGTTGTCACAATATTTTCTAATGCTCTTTTTCTCATCATGTGACAAAAAACTCTTGTCTCCTTCTCATTGTTGTATATAATGTTCTACTTTCATTAACATTTCCAGGCAATCATTGTTAGTTATTCTGGCAGTCCAAGATATTGGCAACATTCTATCCAAGAACCACATCTCAGTTACCTCCACACTCTTCTTGATTTATAAGAACAGTAAAAGAGAATTTGTTATGCTATGGAGGAGATCAAAGGGTTTATTCATTCACATGAATGAATTCAAAAAGAAAGTGTTGCCTGGGACTGAGAGAGGCTGATTCATGCATGTATTCAGGTTGCAATACAGATAGAGATGGGAGAACAGAAAGAGATAATAGAATAAGAATACAAAAGGTAAGATGATTGACTGATCAGTTTGTCGCCTCTGGATTGCTACCTAAATAAAAGTTTACCATATTATCCTAAGTCGGCTCTGTGGCTAAGTCGATGCGAACGCTTCGTAATGCCAGGTTGCCGTGTTCAATCCCAGCTGTGGGCCATACACCTTGCGGTGGTTTCGACATTGGTATCAGGTGGCCGACCATCCAGGAAGCAAACTACTGGACTTAAATTTGCCTAGAAAAACCACACAACAGCCAGAGGCTGCTGGAGTTGGTTCTGCAACGTCCTGTAAAGGATATGCAACTAACCTACCATATTATCCTAAAATTTAATTTCTATCTGGATAGCAGGCCAACAAGGCAGATCCCAGATACCCTATTCAATCTAAAAGAAAGTTATAATTACAGCACTTAGGTTAAACCAGCCAGGAGTGACGTGCAGTCCTGTGTGGGTGAGGTTGAATGTAAGATGAGCTGTGTCGTTGGTTGCCTAGCTACCATCAGAGCATCCTAAGCTGGTCAGATCAAAGAGTAGAGAGCCGACACAGAGAAATACTCTGCTCCTCCAGGATAGGGGTTCAAGTAATGAAGCTTAAATATGTGTGTGCTGGCTTGTATGTATAAAATAACAGGCTAAACAAAATAGGAGTAAAAGTGGAAAGATAAAATTAAAAGGAGATAGAGCAATCTCTCAAGTACAATCATACTGACAGACAGATCAATGCTAAATCTATAAGCTATGATACATGTCATGAGAGACGAATGTTGGCGTGATACAAGCCATTTCATCCCACAAAATCCAATCAGTCATAATCACATGTATGAAGTAAAGGACTTTGCGTCAGACAGCTCATAGTCTGCATTCGTTTGAGATATCAGAGGCAGAAAAAGTTCACTTACAGTGATCCAAATTAAGTTAAGTTACATTTTATTATTTTATAGAATCATATGATATTAATACACTGATATGTTATATATTTTTATATAAATTAAATTGTAGTCACATTAGTGTTAGTACTGTTAGTATACCATACCATTACTTCTATTTAAATTTACTATCTATGACAAGGTAACTGTGTCAATGAATGAAGCCACTCACTTCAAATGCAAACCAGGTATACGGCGAAACAACGTCATAGAAAAGTTCAACCGTTTTCTTCGACATGTTTGCTATCACCTGGAAACTCTTAACGGAGACGACTTGTAGACTTGATCTGTGTCAGAACTTTGAACTAATAGCAGAACCCCTGAAAACTCTGTTGTTGTGAGTTATCTCACCGTATAACCTTTCACCTTTAACCGCTTACTTTCATCTGTCTCAGTTACAGAAATGAAATCTAAATCGGGAAGAGGGCGTTAAAGTAATTTGTTTTTTTTAAACCCTGACATGAGGTGTTAAAATCTTCTCATGCAATTATATTAAAACAAAAACTTTCCAGAACAGAAGAAAAAACATCGAAGTGGTATATAAGACGCAGGATTAAGTAAACATAGCCCAGAACTAAGTTGGACACACCGGGTTAATATTAAGGTGCTGCAAGTATAAACAATTCAGATGTAACCTCACGTAATAGTAAATACAGCACTCAAAACAATAAATATTATACACACATTTTTTTACCTGTAAAATATTTATATTTTTATTCTGACTGGATAAACCACCCCCACCCTTTTTTTACACATAGAAATATGTTATTTGTTTTGTAGCAAATATTCTACGATTACTGTTTTCAGTGCACCTAGTCTGCCAGTGAGGATTAATAATCGATAAAGGGTGTCAGAAAACTCGATAACTTCCGCGAAGTTTTCTGTGAAGAGAGAAAACTTTGCTAAAATCTTGTGTAAGAGCGAAATATAGGGCACCTTGATTTGTGCTGTTATATTTCAGTGCTGTGTGTTTGATTTAAAGTTGTTTATGCCTTAACTTAATGTAACATGTGTACTGTGTATGCAGCTGTATTCCAGTTCTTGGAAGTTGCCAGCTGAGGGGTTATAGTGTTATAGTTATTGTTTATGATTTCTAATGGAGTTAGTTTAGCAATAAATGTTCATTCATTCATTTAATAAACCGTGTTTCACTGTTTTCCATTTCTTTTCTTAGGATTTCAAGAGGTATTTTATTACCTTTTTTCTTTGAACAGCCAATCCCATACCCCTAATGTTACTTGGTGATCTCAAGGATGGGTCAGTATACATATTGTTATTATATATGGTTGTATCAGTTTTCTGGGGTTTGCTCCTGCCTCATCTTTGAGGTGTTAATCTCATGGACAACAGTCGCTGACGAATACAATGACCACCAATGTCACAGCCCTGTTTTGACTAAATATTACACAAAATGGCTTGTTTGCCAAATAAATAACAGTGAGACCACAAAAAATAGTACATAGTTTGTATTATTGTTATCTCCACCCCCTCTGTTAATTTTAGTGCTGTTATTGTTACATTGTAATTGTTATTAATTCAGTTGTCATCATATTAATTGTTACAGTGTTTACTATCTGTATTCTGTGTCACCTTTTGTGAATTTGGATTAACAGTCAACAAGAAGACCAAGATTATAGTCCATGATTCCCATGATAGACCTGCTGTCTTCATTGATGATAAAAAGCTAGAAACAGTTGACCTTCTCACATGTATAGGATGCCCAGTCAATAACAAACTATCACTGAACCGGAAAATCTACATCAGAATGTAAGGCAACGATAACAACGAACAAATTTGCAAAAAGAATTAAAGAACAGAAAACTGATGGTTAAAACAAAAACCTTTGTTTATTAAGCTTAAGTGCTCAGCACTCTTCTTTATTGTTATTTGACTTGATCAGCTTACTTCTACCAGGAGATGTAGAGAAAACTAGCTTTCACATATGATGCCTTTGAAGAGTACTTGGCAGTTGGGGGAGAGACAAGATCACAAATGCTGAGGTATTGGAAAAAGCAGCTGTTACAGTGACTTTCTCAATGTTTGGTGTTCTAAGGCTCATATGGCTAGAACAAACTCAGAGGATGGTAAAGTCACTGAGGATAACTACTAGAGGAAATTATAGTTAAATCACAGTGTCAGCCTGTGCTCTGATATAAAGATGTGTGCAAGCGGGACATTAATTATACAGGCACTAAGATAGATTAATGAGAACAGGATATCATGGATGACCTGTGGAGGGAAAAGATCAGGTTGGAAATAAAGACAAAGAAGACAATGCTTACAAATAGGTTGAGAGCTGAACATTTGAGATGTAACATGTCAACATGCAATGGCAACAGTGATATTGACATTTCGTGAATATATTGAAAGACAGATGTCTGAGAAAGGCTGCAGGAGTAGTCAGAAGAGGTAAAATCAGCAGTAAGATCGTAAGAGAAAAGTTGACATAAAACAGATTCTAAATTACATACAGACAGCATGGTTTGCCCATTTAGAGAGAATGCCTTGTGACACCATACCATACAAGACATACACCAAAAGAGAAGTATGTAGAGCACAAGGTAGACCAAGAACATAGAAAGATAACATCAGAGGAGCTCTACAACAGTTGAATGTTTCTATGGTCGAGGCAGCCAGAAGAGCATGAAGCAGAACCTTATATCTCCCTCTACACCTGAAGTGGTAAAAGAGGAAGTGAAGAAGAAGAAGATAGTAAAAGACTTTTCTTTCTAAAACTGAGCTGATTTTGCTTGTCGCACTCACAATCACCTTGGGCTATGATTCCCTTCCTATAATACCCTGCAATTATTACTGTCTGGAAGGACGGAAATGTGTCAACAAAGAGTTAAAACAAAAGTCTTTGTTTATTAAGCTTAAGTGCTCAGCACTCTTCTTTATTGTTATTGGAATGGATCAGCTTACTTTTACCAGAAGATGCAGAGAAAACTAGCTTTCACATGTGATGCCTTCCTATAGTATCCTGTATATTACTGTCTGGAAAGACAGTGCCAACAGTTATTAGTGTAACAATAGTTATAATTATCAACTTCTTTCTTTCTTTTGCTAGTATCTGCTTTGTGCCAATTGGTGCTACAGCTCGACAGATACTATATAATTAGCTGAACCAGGGCATACTTGGTTGCTTAGTTTGCAATGATTTTCTGAAGTCTTAGACTGTCAGAGACTCCATCATTCCATATTCCTCTAGGTCAGCCTCTTTTCACAACATTGGCACATCAGGCTTATGATGCTATACTTATATTTTTATAGGCCAATTGGCCATTGATGAGTGATTTGGTCAACATCATAAGGGCTGCTTTTACTTCTCAGGACTTTACTGGCTACCCATTTCAGGCTGGGTCAGCCTCGGAGCCACAGTCATTCAATAAAAAAATAGACTTGATGCGGACTTAAATCCAAGACCTTCCAGTAGGAGGTAGAGCATCTAGCTGCTATGCCCCAGTGGCTCAATTTTCTTGTCGTTCGCTCTCGCTGCTGGTATTGTTGAATTTATTCTCACTAGGTGCCCACACGATTTCAGTCTTTATAATTATCATCATTATCATTAAATTCCACTTTTTCTGGCAAGTGTGGAGAGAAGGAATTGTTGGTAGTCCTTGTGAATGTACACTTTCTATAACAAGGCTTGTTTCCTGGATAAAAAGGAGCTGGTACTCATCACAAAGTATCCAACAAGGGTGCTGGTACTCACTGCAAAGTGTCGAACAAAGGTTTTGACACTCACTGCAAAGTGTCTATTGCAGTAGTCTAAATGATGCCTTTAAAAAAAAAGATGATGAAACAGCATACTGTTGCATACCACCATAGAAAAACGCAGTGGTCTATAAAGTCATTTATCCATCATCTTCTTTGGTGCCATCTCAATCTTTAAGGTTGGCTGCAGTGAATGTCCAGCATGCTTTTTTTTTTTACACAAGCTGAATATCCTGTTTGATGCTGCTCATCAGTTTCTTGATGTTATACTTCCACTTGTATCACAGTCTGCCTCTTGAGTTATAAGTTAGATTATCTTTACAGCACTCCGGACACATCCATAGGCGCTCAGATTCCCCTCTAAACATATTCATCAGTGTCGTGCGGTTAATAGTGTCAGTCCTATGTTGGTTAACACGACTTCATGTGCGTCCGGTGTGCTTCTTGTGCTTGGCTGTGCTGATCTTTACTCCTAATTTGGGTATTCTAAACAGTGATGTGGATATGTTGCTTCCCAAATCCTCAAAACGTCTTATCTCTCTAAGGGCAATGGCAATGTCTGCGTGATCCATCTTCAATTAATGCCTTACCTGCCAGTCTATCAGCTCTTTCATTACCAACAATGCCTGCATGCCCTGGGACAAATATGAAGGTAGTGAGATGAGATGCCTGTGGAAAGCCAACATTTTAACCACCTGAGACCAAGCAAGAAACGATACTATCTGCCTCTTGCTCTTGCCTTCACGTTCTTCCCCCCACCCACCCCCCCAGTATAGTTTTTGAAAGAGTGTTATGTCTTTTAATATATGTCTCTGTCAGCTTTTTTTAAATGCAGTGCCTGTGTTTGTAACTAGTATTTTTCTTCTTTTGTCGTCTCACCAGGTTGTAGCCCAGTGTTGTCGTTTTCTCTTTTTGTCTTACATTTCTCAAGTGGCTTGGGTGATGATGCAACTAGTATTGCTGCATTTAAACAGCATTCCCAAACAGTTTCATTTTCTGTTCTTCAGTGTACTGAACACAAGCTGTTGTTCCCACAGTCTGTCTGATAGTATCGTCTCTTGCTTGGTCTCAGGTGGTTAAAATGTTGGCTTCCCCAGGCATCTCATCTCACAGGTTATTGTTATAAAACTTGATATATCTATTATTATTTCTACCCCATTCACATATTTTTAAATCTAATGTTATTTCAGTTTTAACATATGCCAGTCAAAGTTGGAAAACCACTAAAGAGAGGAAAAGAAGGTTAAATGAAGTCAGAAACAAATGCCTGAAGAAATTTATGAACATTTAATAAGATAATTCAATAAAACGAAGCAATAAGATAATTTTTTGACAACCCCTTGTATAAGTAATTAAAATATGAAGATGTGATATATTTGGCAGATCCTAGGGAGAATTTATATAGCGTATTGTCTCAGAAGCTGAAGTATTTTGGTCATGTTAAGTACCATAGCGGATTAGCAAAAATAGCAGCTGATGGTATGTTACCAGGAAGGAGGAAAACGGGCTGAGCACCATGAAGAT